GTTAATGTATTTGTAATTGACGAAAACTACACAATGTTTTACAACAGATGGTTTTATATAATTTATATCACTATGCTACGATTCCAACCTTCAGGAACGAAAGGAAAGGAATTATCTCAGTTTAAAAATGAATATGAATAAAAGTACATAATCCACTTCGTCGAGCAGAAGCAGTACGTTGGCGCAGGCAAATTAGTTGCTAGTTACGTTCTGTCTCAACGGAAGTTAAATTGCCTCCGAGACTTTTGCGTCTCTTTCCATTTTATATCAAAGAGAAATTTAACTATATCTACCTTTTATATAAAAATAAGCCTAATTCATCTTAATGTTGGTCCAGTAATGTATACAAGTTTCTCTTGACAACTCAAGTTAAATACAGCACAATCAAACTCGTTTTACAAGTAAAGATGACGATCATATACGAAGGAAAGTGAAAGTAATATGACGAATGATTTATGACGATAATCGAGCAGGTATTTCACCTGACGTTAAGCAATATAATTATCGCCGCCCATTGACATCTACAATAGAAGTGTGGCTCAACCTTTGTAGTTGTCATATCACTTCACTTCGGCCTTGTGGGAGGGAGTGGTACGGCTGTAGCTCGGGCTATCCTGCCTATCCGCAACAGCAGAAACTGCTGTGCTCTACCACAGTAAAATTTGGTTAAATCACTACATAGTATAAAACAAAGTCGTCCCGCTGTCTGTCTGTCCCTATGTATGTTTAGATCTTTAAAACTACGCAACGGATCTTGATGCGGTATTTTTTACTAGATAGAGTGATTCAAGAGGAAAGTTGACGAAGCCAGGGCGTGTCGCTAGGTATAAATAATGTAAAATTAGGTTATCTTCACTGCATAGTGTAAAACAAAATCGTCCCGCTATCGGTCTGTCCCTATGTATGTTTAAAACTACACAACAGATCTTGATGCGGTTTTTTACTGGATAGTAGGTTTTTTACTGATTCAAGAGGAAGGTTTATATGCATAATATACATTGCACTCGGGGCGAGTGAAGCCGGGGCGGGTCGCTAGTTATAAACAGGGAGGCTTTTCTAAGTGTATCCATTTTTTAATTAATTCTAAACATAAATAATGTTATATAAAAATGTTATATAAAAATGACAAACATTTAAAATCACTCGTAATTTATTAAATACATTTATTTGAACTTATCTCAAAAAGTGCGTGATTTATGGGCAACTCGTTTATTTTACGCGCGATCATTCATAACTAACACGCACACAAGTTCGTTTCAAAAGTTTACGTACGTTTAGTACGCATTTATGAATGACTACCGCATTGTCAACAAGTTCTGTTTTTAAGGTATTGGAATGGCAATTTTTTTTTGAAAAAAAAGTTTGTTTTTATTTCAATAAACGATTATACTACCGAGTTTGAACCTCCTGTGTGAATGTGGTCACCTTTAGAATAGCCATCCTGTACACAATTCTTCTGTACGTGTGTTACTTTTTCTATATTACTGCTTCGTCTTCTTTACGTGTCGATAAAAAATCATATCCTTCCGGCCCAGAACTTCTAAACGGCTGGACCGATGAAATTTTCTGTGTGTCTGCAGGTCGATTCGAGAATGGTTTAGATTCACAGATCGTGTTTTTTTTTTTTTGTTTTTTTAATTTATAAGTTGTTTTCCAATTTAAGTCGCATGTATAGGACAACGTCTGTTGGGTCCGCTAGATAACACTAAAGTGTCACAATACATTGTTCGAATGCACAAAACAAGTCACATAAAAAATAAATAAATATTTGAAAAGTAATCTACTACAGAAGTCGCAGAGAGTGGCGTGGCAAGGCGTTTGCACAAGCAAATTAGTTGCTAGTTCTGTCAGAACGGAAGTTAAATTGCCTCCTCGACTTTTGCTCTTCTTTCATTTTTGTTGCTTACGGAAAAATGCTTTATACTGTGACATATTTTGATAATATGCTTAAGTTAATACTGGGCACTAATTGTGAACGGATCTTGTACCCAAACACAAGAAATAATGAAAAAATTTACATAATTTTATGTTTATATGTGAGAAGGTGGCAAGAGAGGTGTCGGAACGCTCTAGCTACTAAGCTAAACGCTAAATTGAAGCAATGCTTGGTGCATCTATTGCTATAATATCCTTTCCAGCGATAACTCGAACGAGAGAGGTCGCCATTGCACAGTCACAAACTTTTCGTTCCTTTTTTCTACCCATTTTAATATTTAACCTTAAGTGCAGAGATGAGCACTATAAAAATTTAAATTTCTTAAAAGCAATAGCGACCTCTCTCGTACTCGACCCACGAACTCGGCCGGAACAACGTAGCTGGTGCACGACGACGACACGAAGATGTCGTCCGCTCCGCTGCACTCCGCAACACCCTGCTAACGAAAGATGGACAATTGACTAACAGAGGGGGGAGGGGGGACACGGACACCCAAGGCCCAAGTTCCCCTCAGATGGAGGTTCGACCTTGGCTTGGATCGCAATCGTTATGATGACCTACGACCTACTTTACGAGATTTGTTTATCTTTATTAACATGTGCTAAAGGTGTTATTTTGTTATTAAACACAATTCATTCACGAACACATCGTCAGTAAATGTCATCAGTGTCGTCTGGATCGAGAGTCTCCACTAAAGATTTAAACGACCGGTCTTTGACTCCAATCCCGAACCTTTAGTTCATAACAACTGGTGTCAGAAGTGGGATTGGGAGTATGCCGGCTATGCCGAAGGAACAAAAAGGTGTACAGGAGCAACATGAGAAAACAGTGACTAAGCTGACTGAGTCAGCACAGTGATTCAGGCTGCACAGACAATTTGAACTCTTGGACAAGCTGTAGTTCTTGAGGAACAAGCACGCTGCTGGGAGAAACACCAGCGATATTTTTCGAAAGAATTGCGTGCCTTCCAAGAACAACGAGCACGCTACCAGGAGGAACAAACACGCCACCGCAAGGAACAACTGAGCGCCTTCCAGAAAGAAAAAGCGCGCCGCCACGAAAAGATTTTTAAATGTTAAAGACCTGCAATGACAGTTTCAAATGACGTATTTGATATTATTTTAAATTAGTAGTGTAAAGTGAAAGTATCTTCTTATTCCGGAACTTTTTATTAAAGAGATGATCGTATTTTGGACCCTCGTTCTAGAGATTTTCTTTTATGTGAAAAGTTGCCAAACGAGCAGATGGTTCACCTGATGGAAAGTGAATACCGCCGCCCATGAACATCTGCTACACCCGAGGGTTACAGATGCGTTTGAAAATTGGGCTACCTCACTCACCAGACGAAACGCGAAAGTATTTCTCATACTTCCACTTTACGCTGGTCTTCTGTGAGGTCGTGGTACTTACCCGGACGGGCCTGCCCATTCGTGCAACAGCCGAGGCTGCTGCGTGGCTCTACCACCGTCTAGAATTCTATTAAAAAGGCGAACGAAATTCAAATCTATACTAGGGGACTATAAAAGGGGCCCCTTTGGCCGGAATGCACTAGACGGCGGTTCAGTAGAGGAACTATTCAGCTAATCAACTAAATACACTGACTTCAATCAATACATGATAAATTCTTGTGTTCACGTGATTACATAAAACACATATAGATTCGATAAAACACATTCATCAAATGAAAGTATTTTACGGATTTATCGCGTTTATTTTTAATTTTAGTTTTCGAAATTTCGAACCCTTTCGATACGTATATGGTCAAGGGACACACTAATGCGTTGGGCGTCTGACTGTCATCGTTAGCCCGGACTACCTCTTCTCAGTATACATGTATCATCTATGTAGTTGACACGTAGATCATAATAACTATGTTCCAAGGCTGGATGAATCCATACATGCAATGATAACAACTCTCACCTCGCAGGCTGGTACTCTACTCAATTTATGACTCTTACGATGTTGCAACTGTTGCAAGTGTCCATAAGATGAGTGGTGGTGATCGCTTAATTTTTTTTTTATTAATTTATTCATGACCATGGATACCAGTCGTTCAGTCGTATCTTCTTGCTCGGTCCCTCAATGCTGATGATCGTGACCACATGATGTTCTCCTCCACTGTGTGCGGTCGTAAGCGGTGTGAACCGCGCGTTGCATGCTGCCGCCCACCGCGTTCTTCACTACGTCAGCCCATCTTGTCGGTGCCCTGCCTTGAGCACGTCTGCCGTTCATCTGGCCAGTAATTATCTGCTTTTCTAGACTGGGCCTTGAAGATCGCATAATGTGTCCAAAAAAGCAGAAGGCCCATTCACGGCAAATTGAAGAAAGCCGCTTCGTGATGTTGAGGTCTTTTAGTATTGAGTCGTTGGTTCTCGTGGCAGTACAAGTACGGAGCATCCTACGCCAACACCACATTTCGAACGCATCGATTTTACTGCTATCACGGCTTCTTATGCTCCATGCTTCGGCACCGTACATAAAAATAGGGATGACCAATTCAGTCGTATACATAATATAAAACAAAGAGTTACAATTTATAAAAAAAGAGAGTATTTAAAAAAGACATAAAATAAAAGATAAAAATTATAGCTAACAAAGGATGATAAATTGGAAGATTAAAAACATAAAATTATATAGATATATATATATATATATGTATCCATATATTTTTATCCTCGATAATGGCTGAAATAAATGACGTTTCTGTTGTCAACACCATAAAGTATTTATAAAAGATTTTGACAACATCCAAATTCCAAAAATCCAAATTGACAAGTTTATAAAAACAATTGTAAAACCTAAATAAAAGTCATTAATAAAGAAACAAGTACATCAAAAAACTAAAACACCCAATGTTAATGTTAAACGTACACATAGAGAACGCACAATATATGAAACTTCAATTTCTTTGTTGCCTGAGAAAGGTTATATTATTATGACTCAAGGTGGTTCCGCTGCGAAATGATATGATGTTTTCAACATATTGCGTTTGAGCTACGTGCCTTATATGGGTTGAAAAAAGGTTCAATACCGTGCTCGGTTCAGTTGATATTCGTATTCCAAGATGAGTGACCGCGATGGATCGCATGGCTCAGACTCTCAGTTGGGAGACAAAGTAGATAAAAGCACGAGGACACCATCACAACCAATGCCCACGGGATCCAGATCGAGGTCTGCGTTCATGTTTTAAGTTCCTCTCTTCACATTTTGTAAATCCTTAAATTTTATCATTTGTAGCAAACTATTTCACCCTATTTAAAATTGTCCTATTTAAAAATAAAGTGGTATTATTCCATTCTACCAATACTGTACAATGTGTGTTACTTAAGAATTGTTTTTATATGTAAGTAATATAATTGTTGTTTTAATGTTTCTTTATTTGCAACAGCTTTATTCCTATGTACATTTTAGTAGTCACAGCTATTATGCCAGCGAACCAATACAGTTCAGAGTCAGGGGCTCTACAATAACTGGTGCATCACCACCTAAGTTTGTGACTCTTGAGGATGTAATGAAAGCTGCGCATGGAATGCAAAACATGGCCCTAGCTCATGAGATTGCTGTGGATCAAGATTTTATGCTTGAACCATTTGAACCACCAGACAATAGGTAGTTTTTCCCCTATTGTTAAAATACTTTTTTAATTACAATTATAAAAATGTACCTATATATTATTTTCTAAAATTTCACACTTCTACATGAGTGTTTTACCTGCTGAATATGAGATTGAAATTGTGTGTAGCCAATATATCATTGTCTAATTTTAAAAATGTATTCACATTTACTTGAAATTGAAAATATTTCATAGTGGTTTTATTACAAGAAAACACTGAAGTCTTTATCATCATCAATATGGTTTGTTCCTAAAATTATTGTTAATAGAACCTATTGTGGTTGTAGTTTCATAAACAACCAAATATAAAAAGTATTTTTAAGGTAGCCATGTTCATAGTACATTTTGATCTCATTTCCTTAAACTTATTATTATGTTTCAGCTATCAAAAATTGGTTAAAGAAACTATGCACAAGGCATATTTCGACATACTGAGGGAGCAATTAAATTTGGATCCACCAGAATACAAACAAGCCCTGATTTTGCTTGAGGATGTGAAACAGGTATAAAAAAAACCTTGACTCATTGCAATGGACATATATGACATCATCATCCTTTGTTAAAGGAGTTGCAATGTACATATAGATAGTAGTATTCCAGTAATCCCATAAATTTCATTCTCATAACTTAATAAGTACATGTTGTAAAATAAGGACATGTATTCCATAATTTTAATACTAGGGGTAGTGGCATTTAAGCCAAATAAAGATATATATAAAAATAATGATGAAGTAAACAATGACAAGAAACTAAACAATGGTCCTCTCCATTTTGTTCTCAAGTAGTAGATAATAGCATGTGTATGTGAAAAATATACACTTACATAAGTTTAATATACATGACATCAATTTTTTTTATTCATGATCAAACTTTTTAACTAAAGAAACCGTTACTCTTCAGCCTCAGTTTAGTTGTTAAATGGATAAGCCTATAATATATTGTTTAAATGTATAAATAACTACTCAGTTAAAGTGTATAGTGTAAGTAGAATGTTTTGTTATTTATACCAATATAAATTATGCACAAACAAATCAAATAACGGATGTGTCTAAGATATCAAATCACATTTTGCGGATTACCTTAGGCAGTAATAAGAATTAGACAGACTACATAGAGATTATGGTGTTTATTGAATCTTTGTATAATATTCTTTTATTATGATCAAGTTACTTTAGTCTACAATTTTAGTTTAATACTTAAAGAACAAAGATTACATTATGCATTTTTATGTATGGAAGAAAAATATTTACGAAATGAAGAAATATTAAAAATTGTTATATTAGTAGATATAAAATCATTTAGTGTCAAATTTTGTGTGAGCACTTGCCACAGCTACTACAATAGAAAACTTTTCTTTCATGTTAATTCAAATAAATATATGAAACAAATATAAAATAGATCTATGTGGCCATTTTAATCTCCAATAGAAAATTCAAAGATGTCAATTGTTGCAAACTAAATTAAGATGTGTCATCACATGCAAAGATATATCTACAGCGTGTCGTTACCATCGCGACAATAAATGAACACACGTCTAACGCTACTTGCCAATAATCATAAAAGAATATTAACGTTGAACAAAGTCCATAATTTAAAAAAAATATTTTTCAAACAAACTAATTAATTAAAAAAGAAACAAAATTTGTAACACCTATACAACTCGCGCCACAGCGTCGTATTACAAGCCTCTCCTTCTAACAGTATGTTTTGTCTCTTTTAAATTCATTCAACCCATTCATATGCTTTGTGACCTTTACAAATGAACTTTACGTTACGCTTTTATAGGTAAGGGTGTTCTAAAATTCTTTGTTTTGGAAAATTTTATAACTCTGTAAATATTGGTGTTTAAAGAATTTAAATGTTTAATACAACTTTAAAAAGTTATCCCCTATGTGTATTCATTTATTGTCGCGATGGTAACGACACGCTGTATACATATGGTAAATGCTTCAGTTTACTTATAATATATTTATAATTTCTGCTCAGTTTCTTTTAGACTTTTTAGATATGTGAAATAATAATAATATTATTGTTTTTTTTATTATTAGTTGCATAGAAACAATAATTTAATTATTACAGGGATTGTTCTCAATACTTCTTCCACGACACACGCGTATAAGAGAAATGATAGAGGAGGTCTCTTGACAGTGACTTTATCAAGCAGCAAGCGGAAAACAACAGCCTTGACTTCCATAAGTATGCCAAATTTGTTGTGGATTTAATGGCTAAGCTAGCAGCGCCGGCGAGAGATGAAATGATACAGGACATAACAAAATTAACTGACACAGTAAGTTGTTTATAATGAAAGTTGTGCATTGTGTTCTATTACTCATACTCTCTAATTTGCTTATTTGAAGGTTTAATCTATTTAAACATTGAAGCTTATATGAAGGTTTAATCTATTTAAACATAGACAATGTAATCTATTGTTAATTCGTTTTTTTATTGCATTTGAATGAGCTGTGTACATGGATCAATTTTGAAAACAAATGGAAAACTGGAATTTCCAGCCACAAAATTCATTGTTTCTATCCAAATAAAGAAACAATGAATTTTTATTTAATGGATTTTATACATTGTATTTTTATTATTATGTGCTTCATATTAAGTTTTTTAAAATAAAAACCGATTGATAAACACTAATGGGTTTTGTAACACCAATCTCTAATCACCATTCCTGTCTATACCAAAATACAAAACACCATGATAAAATCCTTTTACTAATTAGTGTACCGTATTATTTTAATAGTATATATAAATAGAATACAGAAACATATTACATGTATATGTAGGTGAGTACCACGACCTCACAGAAGATCGGCGTAAAGTAGAAGTGTTACATTTCTGCGTTTCGTCTGGTAAGTGAGGTAGCCAGGGCCCACTTTATTTAAAGGACGCAACGCATTTGCAACCCTACGGGTGTTGCAAATGCCCATGGGCGGCGGTCATCACTTAACATCAAGTGAACCGCCAGTTCGTTTGCCACTTTCTCACATAAAAAAAGCGATAATTTACCGCTATCACCTTTGACTTGGGCCAACGCATAAAACCACGCGACGTATGTATGATCCATGACGTCGCTGCACGGCTACCGGTAAACAACTTTATGCAACGCCCACGTTTAATGATTTTTTGAATTTTTAACTCGCAACAAGTTTCGCCTTTTGTTTTGACACCTATATAAGCACCTGCATCTCTTCGAATAAGCATTATTATATATTCTGACCTTAAAATTTTATTTTGCATAAAGTATAGAAGAATCCTACATTAGTTCCTACATGTAGTATATAAAATCAATAAAGGATACAAGTAATAGGACATTGTAATACAAAATTTTAATTATCTGATTATAATATTACAGGTTGATATATTCCGTGCCATCTTAGAGACTCTGGAAGTTTTGAAACTGGACTTGGCAAACACCCTGATTGCAATGATACGGCCACACGTGCAGAAGGAGAGCGTGCAATATGAACGGGCGAAATTCGACGAGCTACTCAAAGTGTCAGAGGGTGTGTATAAAAATATTACCTTTGACGACCCGAATGGCGTAGTGGGTAGTGTACCTGCCTCCTGTGCCAGAGGGTGTGGGTTCGATCCCCACTACTGGAAAAATATTGTGTGATAAACATAGTATTTTTCTAGTGTCTGGATGTTTATATATGTATAATATGTATTTATTTACAAAAGAAAAGTATGTTTAAGTATGTTTATCAGTTTTCTAGTACCCATAGTACAACCTTTGCTTAGTTTGGGACTAGAGAATGTTGTGTAAAAATGTGTCCTAAAGTATTACCTTGAACAAATCAGAAGTTGACATTTGTTCTTGTTTCGAAACTTTTTAATATCCATGACTAGAACCACATAACAGCTTATGGCACTGTAAAATGGATTCATTTCATCCTCAATAACTCTCCATTCCCCTACCGATACGGCATTAAATATTATTCAGACTGATTTACAAAAACAATCTGAAAAATAAATAGAATGACAATGCTATAGATGAATAATTATTCTTTAGATGAAAGTCTAAATGCTTTGTAACTGCTAAAATCCAAATGAATACAACCAAAAAAAATTTAACATAGTTAATTTACTTGATAAATATTTACATATAAATGTTCTTTTATCATTTTCAGATGGTCTACAGTACACTAAGGAATGGTTACAACGAAACATTGACAAGACCGGTCTGAGTATACCGGTTACCGACCCGAACATAATACGAAACGTTACTGCGCAGACATTAGCAAAAGCTTATTTGGAGCTGTTGGAGTGGGACAGCACCAAGAACTATCCAGAGGTAATGAACATTTTACCTTTTCAAAAATCTCACCAAAGTCATGCTAGAAAACAATGTATATAAATAATGTTGAAAATGTCGTCGGTGTGGGAATCAACCGTTTAGCTTACTGGACAAAGATATCCTTTTTTTTCTATTTACAAATTTTAATGTTTCATTGTAAGTTTGAGATCTGATCAGCCCTATAAAAATTTTAACATTTTTCCTATAAACGGTCATAGAAGGGGCATAAGTACGTCGGGCCTGCAGGAGATCCTAGACAACACTTTTGCTTAGAATTTAATAGGACACTATATCCCATATAGGTATATCTCCAATCATCAGATGAAACATCTCATAGTCTGCAAATTTCTACAACACATTAGGTTCATATTTCTATGGGCGACATATATAATTATGTTATTACTACCCCTACTGGATCTGGATTTTACAGCGCTGGTGTTTTTTTAGAGATAAGTATTATCTAAAAAACCTACAGGCTAATAAGTTGTAAGGTGATTGATGGGTTTCACGCAAGATAATATCCACAAATAATTTACACGATGTCCCTCAACCTATCCAACGCAAATGCGAACATCAGTAGTTCGTTCAGAGATACATACGAGACGCGACAAGTATTAAGCATGACTGGAGGTCGATGTCTCCTTGGCGCAGTTGCCAAGGCATTGGCTTCGGCGGCGGGGGTCGTGGGTTCGATTTCCACACGAGAAAACTATTTGTGTGACCCACACAAAATTTTGTTTCGAAACAATGTTGTTGCTTGTTCCGAAACAATGTTTGTCCAACAAATTTATTTATAAAAACGTCCTTACAACACAGGACAATGTTGTCCTACAGTAAGGGGGCAATGTTATCGAAGGTACCCTACAATAGATCTTTCTAGATTGTGGCAGTGGGCGTTGAGATGTCAATCCCTTCCACACAAAATATACATACATACAACCACTTGAAGTCTCCATTCTCTGCAGACAGTGGCGCTGGACTCCTCCCGTTTCTCTGAACTGGGCACCCAGGTGTACCGTCTGATCTGCGTGGCCTCGATCATGCTGGTCAGCCCCTCCTGTGGCAACGACGCATCCTCAACCGCCCAGAAGCAACAGCTCAAAGAGAAGGTCGTCATTATACTAGACAACGCGTCCAACGACATGTAAGTCCGACGTTTCTCTTTCTGGGTTCCGCACCCAAAGGGTGAAACGGGACCCTATTACTAGGACTCCGCTGTCTGTCTGTCCATCTTTCACCAGGCTGTATCCCATGAACCGTGATAGTTGGACAGTTGAAATTTTCACAGATGATGTATTTCTGTTGCCGCTTCAACAACAAATACTAAAAGAATAAAATTGAAAATATTTAAGGGGGCTCCTATACAACAAACGCGAGCCGGTTGCTAGGCAAACTGTAGGTACTTACCATTTAGTATATTACTCTCAGTTTGTGAGTCCGACACTCAGTTAACACGGTTTTTAAGAACTGTCCAGTATCTTTTATTATTTAAGCACTGTTATACTTAATGTTTAAGGAACTTTTTAAGCAAAAGTTTGCTTATATTGGGCAGCAATAAACTAACATAAATTAACTGAATGGCAATAATATAATTATAATACATTTTCAAATATAAATTCCAAATCAAAACTACTATGAAAACTAAGCAAACCAGTACTTTAAACATTCTTATAATATTTAAAACTAAGTTTTTTTTGTATTTTATGTGCGTGCCTGCGCGCGTTTTTCTGTTTGTTTGTGTGAGCGTACGTACGTGCGTGCGTGTGTGTATGTCTGTATGTGTGCACGCGCGTGCTTGCGTGATTGCGTGCATGCGTGTGTGTATGTGAGTTAACTTATAATCAACTCAATTTAATTCTCTATTAAGCCTGCTTGTCTTGTCACATCTATCTATCAAGCAAAGACATAAAAAAAATGGTGATCACAATTGCTCAGTAAAAGCTTTTAAACTATCCGCATAAAAGACTAGCTTTTATCGATGACTTCTAACGTCTCTCCATAAAAAACTAGTTAATTTTTCCCGTGTCAATGCAGCATATATTTCAACTCTAAATTTCATTGAAATTCGTCCTTATGGAATGAACTCCAGTACGAACAATTTTGGCACATATTGGCACCGTTTATTGGATAAGTTACTGGGAAGCCGCGTGACGGGTGAGGATCTGAGATCGCAGGTTCGAAACTGTATTTGTATATATTTACAGAGAATTGAAATCAATACTGCCGTCTGTAGCTGAGGAGGTAATAGCGTTCACCGACCAACTGCTCGAAGGGATGGACCAGGACGGGCTGAGCGCGGATACAAAGGAACTCATAAGGACCCAGATCGTGTCCCTTGGGGACCCGGAGCACAGAGTCCGACAAATTGTCCGTAAGTCTCACTTTCTTTTTAAATCAGACCATTCGTTGTTCTGGTCCAATGGTATAACTGCACGTATTTAAGCCTTTTGCACTTTATTGGTTAATATTCGAATGTATAGTTATAAACGTTCCAGCAGCAGTTCCAGCTTTTATAAGCTATATCTGTTTCAAATGTCTTATATGTCATGTATATAGTTTCCATTCTTTGCGCCGAGAAAAGCCACTCAAACATACCAAACTCAAACTTTCGCATTTGCTTTTTTGGGTGATAAGTCATCATCATCATCATCCTGCTCTCATCCCATTAGGTGAGGTCATGCTATAAGCTGCTTTGGGTATGTTTTTTTAGGACCGGCCGCCTGTCTGAAGTCAATCCTCCGCAAACAAATACTTGTCCCGTGTGGAAATCGAACCCACGACCCCCGATACCGAAGCCAATAGCTTAGGCACGGCGCCACCTTTTAATGTTAAGTAATCCCCACAGTTCATGCACCACCAACCACAACAAACGTGGGTTGACAGCAGGTTGCATCCTATTCAAAGTATAACTGTGGTAGGGCCACTCTAACAGTATTCGCTCTTGCACGAATGGACAGGTCCGTCTGCGTAAGTACCACGTACCTCCCAGACGACCGGCGTGAAGTGAAAATGTTATACTACCGCGTTACGTCTGATGAGTGAGATAGCCAGGGCCAATCTACGGGTGTTGCAAATGTCAACGGGTGGTGGTTACCACATTACATCAGGTGAACCGCCTGCTCGCTTGCCTACTTCCCACATAAGAAACAGCTATAGTCCCTCAAAATAATCATGTTGGCACTTCCATTCCTGGCCCAGGAAAACTTGAGTTTCTAAAGATGACACCGTTGTGCGCTCCCATTCCAGGCCAGAGGATCCTGGAGTTCCTGAAGATGATACTGGTGTGCGCTGGTGGGTCCCGCCAGATCCCAGTGGGGCTGTCGCTGGTCACCAAAGAGCTGACGGCCGCCTCAGGCACCTTGCTCCGCTACGTGATGCACAACAAGGCGGTCTTCACCAACCACTACCTCGATATCGTCGCGGCCGAGCTGAGTAAACCTTGAGCTCACTCTGGAACGTTCTACGACGCGCTGACACCTGAAGCGGGCGCCGATCTAATGGTTTGATATTTTGACCCAAAAGCGAGGTGTTTTTTTTTAAAACACTTTGTGGCATGCCAAATCTCTAACGTTTACACAAGTATGAGATTTAATAGATGTATCACAATTCAATTTAATAATAAAATTTGAAAATAATTTTGCCGGTCATAGAAATGTTTCCTCTATTTTTTTATATACATAATGTACATATTTATTTCAGTTGTCGGACAACTTCAATACTGACATTAAAATGTTTGAATTTTAGATCTGCGCCTGTTTCAAGGTCACCGGAAAATGAACTAAGCTCTAACTTTTTTTGTTATAAGAACTAATTTCTTAAGTCCATACAAGTAAGAACTAAGCTCAAAGTCATCCGAGTTAAAACCAGTCTATAAGTACAAAACAGCAATAACTCACATCTAAATTGAAACACTTCTGATATACAACTGAAATACTCGGGATGTCTATAACATTTCCACAATTTATGTATTGGATACGCAAAACTTAAATGCACCTGAGTGGAGTTGGCACAAGTTAAGCATGTACTATTGAGAGTAAAAATAATCAACTACTAAATATGTAGTAAATATTTTCACAAAACCCAACCTTCTATTGAAACTTTGAATAAAACACGAACGGTAAGGCAATACTCGCACTACACACTTTATATCTAGCACTTCTGAGACGAACTTCAGAGACGCATTAAAGTTTTGCACGTACAATATGTTGCAAGTGTAACGCTTTTTTACACATTATTATAGTAGTAAGACGCTTTTACAAATGTTAATGTCCTAAAGTGGTATATGACATCTTGACAAAATGATTATTGGTACATTTAATTGTTTAAAGGTTTTATAATAAATGTCTACAAGTTTATTCAGCATCAGATGAAAAGCACAAACTTCAAAAATCATTGTTTATGTCCTGAAATTATTTTACTGATTTTTATAGTAACCCACTTATCTACTATACTAGTTCTAGCAATATTCAAGTGCGAACAATAACCAAATTTTGTTATACAAACGTATGTCTATATATACATATATGTCACGGTGTGCGTTGATGCGACTCACGGCGATGTACGGCCAGCAAAAAAAATCTATAATTTTATTTCATGTTATTATTTTAGTGAAATAATAAAAAAAATGAGGCAATTTATTTTCTTCATTAAATATTATACTTGTTAATAAAAACTGTCACAACTATTGTTCAATCTCTCATGTATTCAATTTTGTACTGACTGTCGACCAATAATAAAGTGAGATTTGTACTAATTTTCCTACTGAGGAAATGTTAATAAGGATCAATTCTAGGGATGAAACTAATGTTTTAGAACTAATAAGCTTTGAAATAGATAATATCTGAAGGAGTAAATTTCAATGACTATTTTAAATTCAAAATTATAAAGTTTATATTTTTTTTTTGTTTTCAAATAACATCCATTTAATTTTTTGTGCTTATCGTTTTCAACGTATTTAAATTCAACCTCAATCAAATGCCGACCGCACTCGTCAATTGCAAGAATTATAAGTTTTTTTCAGAATTTTTATTGTATTTTTTTAATGCAATGAAATACATTGTACATCATCAAAAGCAGTAACATGAAAAATTGACAAGAAATTATTGATTTTCTTATTAGTTAAGTGCATAACATCTTTATAATATAAATTATTGATAAAATATAAAATTAAACAATAATATTACAGTGAGAGTAGGTAATTTTTATGTACTATTTTACGACATCGCATCTATCATGGACTCTTAGAACTAGGTTTCCAAGTTATATTTGTTTAGGCCCAAAATTGTCGATAAAAGTAATTTTGCCAAAACTATTTCGTCTAGGTAATATAAGCATTTGACTCTATTTAATCCAGTTTCATGTAGGTACTGCTTATACTATAGAAAATGTTTATTAAAAAATGTATATAACGTTTTTACGCAATATTTATATAGATATACACAAGTTTTAATAAAATTAATTGTAACTGAAAATTCTTAAAAAAAACAAGCAGTAATGTTATATTTGAAAGTTATTGTGAAAAATTCTTTAGAAAAGTATTAAAATATATTCTCAATTCATATAATATTTTACCTTTACTGCAAAAAAATTAGACATGTCAAGAACTGGGAACAACAAATAAGCTAAGCATGTTTTTTATAATTTTATCTAACCTATTGCACACTAATAAAATTACTGCTAAACCTTGTTTCGTTTTCTTTTTTCTACCAAATTTTCAAAGGCTGTAAAAGTACCAATTTAAAAACTAATATCTAGACAAATGCATTTGATTAGCCATTTTTAGGACTACGGAGCATACATGTTGACTGTGAAAGCAAACAATTGGTTCCATAAAAGTGGGCAAGGTAATATTTTCCTCCACTATGCAGCTTTTTGCTCAAGATATTTTCCAGTACATATGCTTTTGATGGACCTCAAGTATGTACAGCAAAATACAGGGTCCCAAATAATATTTCTTAGTTTTCAACTAGCGGCTGTAATAAAACATGATATTGTTATCTTGTGATAAAGTGGTAAGCGAGTCAGCTGCTGTCAAGTCAACCTTTAAAAGTGTAGTACTTTATTTCAGTGAAATATCATTCACCAGAGTAAATGCTAAGATTTAATACTACCTCTGCATCCCAGTCTTCTGCCGGACTGTCACATTCCGCTTCGTGCTCTCGTACGGAACGGACGTCTCTCTAAGTCGGAGGGCTCATGCCACCCGAATTAGACGCTACTCGCAACTTCGGTTGCAAATTAAATCTTTGTGCAAGCAGTGCTGCAGTTTAGTGTTAGTGTAGTGTTGTGCTCGTAGGCAGGTTCCTGTTCTGTAAGTAGAATTCTATACACACTTCTCGCCTCAGAGGCGGCATTGTTTTATTTAATAACTATGTGCTTGTTGCGATTGGCGACAGCTAGGTACCCACCCTAGCGCACCTAAAGCGCAGGTGAAATAGTTTTTAGTTTTAGGCACACACCTCCCTGCCGCAAGGTGGGGAGGCCTATTTAGAAACTACACGCCGGCGGGGCGCAAGCCCCAAAGGTTCAAGCGCCGTTATGGGTTCCCTCTTAGAGGTATTCATTCGCGAACGATGCCCCGAAATGTGGCGCAGCTTTCTCGCCTTCACCGCGCGAGAAACGCGCCGCGTCGTCGAATACGCTAGCGACAACCCGGCTTCACCGGCAGTCGCCTCGCCGCCATCTCAGGTGCCCTCTGCGCCAGCTAATGAGTCGCCTTCTGCGACACTAGTAACGCACCCGCGTCGACTTCCGCGCCTTCCGCCTTCCGCGCAACCAATTTCGGCCCCCTTCCGCGATGTCGTTCCCGACTCACAATCGGACGGCGGCTCGGACATGGAGGTCGAAACGACCCCCGCTGATAACGCGAACGCCGATATGCTCGTGGTTTGAACCCCACAACATCCGCGACCTCCGGTCAAAAAATACACACATGGGTATCCGCGTATACCTGGACACAACAGACGATTTACGCGAAAATAAGGTAGGTTTTCACACCTACTCGTTGCCCGAAGAGCGTAAACTTCGGGTAGTAATAAAGGGCGTCCCCAAAAAGTCGGATGTCGATAAGGCTAAAGTCGACATCCGCACTCAGGGATACCCCGTACATGCAGTGCGACGTCTTAGGCACCCTAGAACCCGTGTCCCTATGGACATGGTCATGGTTGAACTTGACTCTACCCCGGAAGGTAAGGCCATCTTCAACCTAAAGAGGGTCTGTGGGCTCAGTGACTTAGTCATCGAGCCCCCGCGCAAATCAGGTGTTGTGGCACAGTGCCACAACTGTCAACATTTTGGCCACACGGCCAATAATTGCTTCGCTCACCCTAGGTGCATCAAATGCACCGGTGACCACGGCACAACCGAGTGCACGAGGCCAAAAGATTGCGCAGATCCACCGGACTGCGTAAACTGTGCACGCTACTTAGGCCACCCGGCTAGTTATAGAGGCTGCGCTAAGGCCCCCGAAAATGGTCCCGCGAGAAAATCTCCCGCGAAATCCACTCTACCCTAAAGGGTCTGCGGGCCCGTAAACTTACGTTCCCGCGCCCGTACCCGTCACTAACGCCTGGTCGAAACACCAGGTGGCCGCGCAGGTAACCACGCCGGTAATCCCGGTCACCTCACGACCGATCGCACAACAGCTGCCCGCCTCTCAAACGGCGCCGCGGCCGTAAGTGCCGTTTTCGCCGAAAACAAGGACGACCCATTCGCGCAAATCGCAAACATCTGCAGCCTATTAGATAGGATCAATAGCAGGAACTCGCCGTATTGTCCGCTAAAGTAGCGGCCGCCACATCTGGCAACGAGCGTCTTAGGGCAATTAGCCAACATAAAACGCTTGTGGAAGCCCTTTGGGCTTTTACGAGCCAACCGTAAAAGACAATAGTCCGCGCAATAAAACCGCGCTCCGCCGCGTCGTTAATTAGACCCAAAAAAACCCGTTAAAATACAACCGCAGGTAGAACAAAACCTCGGGCTCTGGTTGTTTCGTATTTCAACGCAAAGGCATAAAGGGTCAAAGGGACGAAATCGCGGAATCCCGGTCGCGACTCAACGTAGATTTTCCTAGTGCAAGAGACATTCTTGAAACCTAGTGTACGCGATCCCAGAATCGAAAATTACAATATTGTCCGCCACGACCGTTAGCAAACCGTCTGGGAGGCACATTAAATTATAAACGGTCCTTGCACACATTGCCCGCAACGACATTCCAGAGCAATAAGTCAAATAGAGGCATCGCGTGTAGGTTAGCGCTCACCGGCCACAGGCCACTTGTACTAGTCTCAGCCTACCTCTCGGGGAATAGAACCTTACTTCAAAGCGACCTAGATACGCTTCTTAACTTAGCCCTTCCGTGATAATTGCAGGAGATCTAAACTGCAAACACGGCTCATGGGACACCAACAGCATCCCAAATAACAACGGAAAGCATCTCTTTAGCTTATCCGATAACCTAAACTTTAGCATAGTCGCTCCCGCGACTCCCACTAGGTATCCTACGGTGGACAACTACCAACACGCGTCACCGAGTGTCCTAGACATCATGTTATTCAGGGAGGTCTCGCTCGACATCGAGTCGATAGAGACAATCCATGAACTAGACTCAGACCACAGGCCCGTCTTGTGTAAACTGGGCCAGAACGCCGGCGCGGTCCCTCCGACCAAATCCGTAGTGGACTGGACCCCTAGGACTTAGTAGACTTACCCGAGACGATAGCTACGTTCGATGACGCAAATCGAGCGATAGCGAGTCTCCGAGAAACTATTACTTCCGCAGTCACAGACTCGGAACGGACGGTGAAACTGTCGGGCGACCGACGGTTTAACTTTCCGCCCGACCTAAGACTGCTAATTAGATAGAAAAATGCAGCCAAACGCGCCTTCGACCGATACCGATCGGAATCGAACCGAACCCTACTTCGACGCCTTCAGCTAGAAGTCAAAGATCGTGTATCGGAACACCGACACACAACGTGGGACACTCTCCTAGAGAACATCGAGCCATCGCACACCGCCTACTGGCGGTTGGCCCGCAGTCTGAAAGCAGACCCCCGCCAATCTCTACCGCCGTTAGTTAGACCTAATAGCGCTTCAGTAGCCCGAGATGACTCCGAAAAAGCCGAATGCCTTGCGGACAACCTAGAGCAGCAATGTACGCCATCGCGCGAACACACCGATTCAGTCCACCTAACGGAGGTGGACCACGTAATCGAGACTAGGGCTGCGCTTCCACCGGAAGAGGTCCAAGATATTATTAAAAATTTAAAACCAAAATCCGCCCCGGGCCCAGATAATATAAGTAATAAAATTCTCAAAGCTCTCCCTGGGCCGCTTATCTGTTTACTGGCGACCATTTTCAATACCCTTCTCTCCAGTTGCTCCTTTCCGGACGACTGGAAGCAAGCCACGGTTATCGGCATTCGCAAGCCAAATAAACCAGCTAATCAGCCCTCTAGCTATCGTCCCATCAGCCTCCTCAGTTGCCTGGGGAAGCTCTACGAGCGGCTCTTGTTAAACAGGCTCAAACGGCCTTCGAACGGCCTTCTGCCGACGGAACAATTCGGCTTTCGAGCTAGACACTCTTATCCCGACCAGCTATACCGCCTAACAGAGCATATCCTTAAAGGCCTAAACCACCCCAAACACATCAGCACAGGGGCTCTCTTCTTCGATGTCGCAAAAGCATCCGACAAAGTCTGGCACAACGGCTTGCCTTACAATCTACTCTAAGTGCCCGATAGGCTCGTACACACCATCCGGGCCTTTTTGTTGAATCGCTCTTTTCGATATCGAGTCGAGGGCACCCTCTCCACAAGCCGCCGCCTCACGGCCGGCGTACCACAAGGCTCCTGCCTCTCACCTTTGCTCTTTACGCTCTGCACGAGCGACATACCCAAAGACCCCCACGTCAATCTCGCGCTTTTCGCGGATGACACCGCGCTCTTTTATTCAGACCGCAACCTTAGAATACTAACCACTCGACTCGAAAGCGCCGCCGACCGCCTCGGCGATTGGTTCCGCAAATGGAGAATAGAAATAAATCCCGAAAAGAGTGTGGCGATTCACTTCACACGAAGTACCTACCCGTCACATCTTTATAATGGTCCTCGCCAATGCAGAAAGTTGGGGCAAATATCCCTATATGGCCAACCGCTCCCCTGGGAGAAAAAGGTCAAATACTTAGGAGTCAATTTCGACTCGCGTATGTCATTTACTACGCACATTAATAACGTTTGTAATAGAGCCGCGTTCGTCTCCGGCCGGCTACACAATTTAAATAACGCTAAAAGTAAAATGCCCTTAAGGCACAAATTATTATTATATAAGACCTGCGTACGACCTCTTATGTCCTACGCATGCATGATCTTCGCCCATACGCACCCTACTCGCTTGTACAAGCTGCAAATAGTACAAAATAAGTTTATCCGCCGCGCAACCGGTGCGCAGTGGTATCAGCGCAACGTCGACCTGCACAGCGATTGCAGACTCCCGACGATTCGCGCACATTTTAAAGATTTGACAAAACGGTTCTTCGATAGAGTCCAGCATCATCCCAACCCTCTGGTGGTAAGCGCAGCAAACTACCAACCGGACACTAACGCGAACGTAAACAAGCGTCGCCCGCGAAACTTTCTCATCGATCCGGTCGACGAAGAGGACTTAGATACGATGGACCCACCGCCGGGGGTCCCGCCGGATAACACCACACCCACAGTTAGTGTAAAACAATCACACCAGTTCGCCCTCGCCTCCGAGCACGGCGAGACCCACACAACGCGTACACAAGGTACACCCGCGTTCCGGGGCGGTTCTCACCGCTCCCAGCCACCGATTAGCTAAATGCACAGTCGACGGCCGTCGGGGTCTCGGTCCGAACCGCGACCTCGACGGCCCTTAGATGACATACCATAATTAAACGCACGCATGAGCACATGCGCGACCCTACCCATAGCGGAGGGTCCAAACCCGTGGGTTCAGGCTCTGCGGTTCTGCGTCCGATGAAGCTTTAATAGTCTCGGGACTGAAAGCAAAAACATCAGTTAATACAAGATAAAAGATACAAGCCGGACTGTGGCTGTCTGGACCCTCCGCTATGGGTAGGGTCGCGCATGTGCTCATGCGTGCGTTTAATTATGGTGTGTCATCTAAGGGCCGTCGAGGTCGCGGTTCGGACCGAGACCCCGACGGCCGTCGACTGTGCATTTAGCTAATCGGTGGCTGGGAGCGGTGAAAACCGCCCCGGAACGCGGGTGTACCTTGTGTACGCGTTGTGTGGGTCTCGCCGTGCTCGGAGGCGAGGGCGAACTGGTGTGATTGTTGTTACACTAACTGTGGGTTTGTAGTGTTATCCGGGACCGGTGGGTCCATCGTGTCTAAGTCCTCTTCGTCGACCGGGTCGATGAGGGACGTTTCGCGGGCGACGCTTGTTTACGTTCGCGTTAGTGTCCGGTAGGTAGTTTGCTGCGCTTACCACCAGAGGGTGGGATGATGCTGGACTCTATCGAAGAACCGTTTTGTCAAATCTTTAAAATGAGCGCGAATCGTCGGGAGTCTGCAATCGCTGTGCAGGTCGACGTTGCGCTGATACCACTGCGCACCGGTTGCGCGGATAAACTTATTTTGTGTACAAGCGAGTAGGGTGCGTGTGGGCGAAGATCATACAGAACATAATAGCTGTATCAAATAATGGCCAACATACAAGCATGCCGGCCGGATCTACCACATACGTAAAGATCCTAATTTGACCTAGTCCATCAATGCAAGGGGTAATGGGGCAAGAGAAGCTGTAAACCTGCATATTTTCAAATAAAAATAAGAAAATATTTAAAAGATATGTGAAGTCCGCCAATCCGCAGTGGGGTCGCGTGGCGGACTATGTTCTGTACAAACAGACCTCTGTCCAGCAAGTTGGACATATACAGGGAGTCTTTTCTAAGTGTATCCATTTTTTTAAATTAAATTCTAGACAAATAATGTTATATAAAAAATGATAAATATTTAAAATCACTCGTAATTAATTATATACATTCATTTGAACTCAAAATAACACGCACACAAGTTCGTTTCCAAAGTATACGACATATTTATGAATGACTACCGCATTGTCAACAAGTTCTGTTTTTTAGGAAATGGAATGGCAATTTTTTTTTAAAAAAAATGTTTGTTTTTATTTCAATAAACAATTATACTACCGAGTTTAAAACTCCTATGTAAACTTGGGCACCTTTAGAAAGGCCACCCTGTATAGGCTGTCATTTTACTTACCAATAAATGTAAGATCATCAACTAAAGATTTATAAGTGCTATAAGCTAATATTTATTTAGTACTAACATGTGACAAATAAATGAAAACCATGTGTTAAAATTACATTTTATTTAAAAATTATTCATATATTTGATTTGTATTGGAAGTCAAAGCAGATTAGTAGAGTCCGTCGACTAATCAGAGCCGCTGTGTTTCGAAGAAGCGCTTGAAGCTGAACCGCTTCTAGAGCCCTAGAAAATTAAGGCATATAATAATTTAAATTCATAATAAAATGTTAGTACCAATTTTATAACCCAATATTTCTTACACATTCGCATAATTATAAGGTATCCCTTTCAGCTGCCCAAATTTCAGACTAGGTGGGGTAGACACAACCTGTCTTATCCTTCCACTATCCTCATCAGCCGTCATCTCAATAGTCACCCCCTTTTACTTCTTTTTTTCATTCCAATCTTTCTCGTCGTCCTCTAGCTTTATATATTCATACTCATCACTCTTCTGGTCACATTACTTTAGATCCTTCTCACACATGTTTGTAGCAAACATATACATATTATACCTGACATATATTTACAATGTATATTGACAATAAAAACGCCTTATAACCTCCGCGTTCCGGGGCGGTTCTCACCGATTAGCTAATTGCACAGTCAACGGCCATCGGGGTTTCGGTCCGACCCGCGACCTCGATGGCCCATAGATGACACATCATACTTAAACGCACGCATGAGCACATGCGCGGATCTACCCACAGCGGAGGGCCCAAACCCGTGGGTTCTGGCTAGCCCACCGGTTCTGCGTCAGATGAAGAGCTTTAATAGTCTCGGGACTGAAAGCAAAAACATCAGTTAATACAAGATACAAGAGAAGCCTTATAACAATTGTCGCTTCAATGACTCTGTTGATGAAGTTGTTGAGCTATCGGCAGCGAAATAAGGTCATGGTTTCGTAATACATTTAAAATTAATGTTTCGAATACTACAGCGTGCATCGAAATTAACGAGACGAACAGCTATATATCTGTTATATATTCATGTAAATAAAAAACATCATTATGGTCTGAAATTCTGGTACAGTGTCTAACCACAGGAATATTATTTTTAAATACTTTTAGATTTGAGATATTACCTGTCTTGAACCACTAGCCGAGCGACTCCTAGACCTGTCCGAACCGCTACCAGAGCCGGAATTTCTCCTAGAGCTGGCTCTAGAGGATGCTTTCGAGCCGGAAGCTTTGGAAGACGGCCTAGAGGAGGCTCGAGAGGAACGCCTACTTGCTCGCGATGAAGCTCGAGAACTTGCCTTAGAACTTGCTCTGGAGCCCTTAAAATTTTTTAAACAACATTTATTGAAACATTCATTAATTAGCAAATAAAAAAATCATTACCTACTACTAAAAAAAAAGGTTGGTGCAGTTGAACTATAGTTTAGAACTACAGGTCCATTATACAGCATGTCTTTACCATCGCGACGATAAATGAACACACATATTGAGGATAACTTTTTAAAATTGTATTAAAGATTTACATTCTTTAAACATCAATATTTAACGAGTTATCAAATTTTCCTAAACAAAGAATTTTAGAACATCCTTATGTATAAAACTTTAATGTAAAGTTCATTTGTAAAAGTCACAAAGCTTATGAATGGGTTGAATGAATTTAAAAGAGTTAAAACATACTGTTAGAAGGAGAGGCTTGTAATGCGACGCTGTGGCAACGAATGAGTCTCTGAATCAGTCAGATGCAGTTGTATAGGATGTTACAAATTTTGTTTCTTTTTTACTTACTTAGTTTGTTTGAAAAATATTTTTTTTTAATTAATGGATTTTTTTTTAACGTTAATATTTTTTTACGATTATTGGCAAGTAGCGATAGACGTGTGTTCATTTATTGTCGCGGTGCTAAAGACACGCTGTATATATTAACCCTGGGTAGGGCCACGCAACAGTCTTTGCTGTTGCACGTATGGGTGGGTGCGCCTGGGTAAGTACATGACACTTACCCAGGCACCTCACAGAACAGCCGCGTGAAGTGGAGCGTTTCGTCTGTTGAGATAACTGGGGCCTACCTACGGGTGTTGCAAGTGTCAATGAGCGGGCAGTTATCACTTAACATCATGTGAACCGCAAGCTCGCTTGCCACCTTCCCACATTAAAAAAAACACTAGATACCTTGTCACTCCCTCTAGAGCTGGCTCGTCCACTGGCCGAACTCGCTCGGGATCCCTTTCCGCTTTTAGAGCTTGCCCTCGATGATGCTCTGGACGACGCCCTGGATCCCGATCGAGACCGGCCAGAACCCGACCTGTTAGGAAGAATATTCGTTTTATGTTTGAATTTGTATTGTTAGAATTATAACTACTTATTCCAAATGCTTATGAGTTTTAATCAAATTAACAAATTTGATGCAATAACCATTGAACTTTTTTATTGTGAAAATTGTACAAAAATAGAATAGAACTAATTATAACCTGGTTGCCTGGAAGAAATTACTCTTAGTAATAAGGCCGCCCATTGTACCCATTACTTCTACATTAAGTTTTAATTTTTGTTTGTTTTATTTGGTGTGCAATAAAGTATATTCATTAGAACAGTTTAACTTAATGGCAGTAATACATATAAAAATAATAAATGTATAATAATTCATAACACACAGACAATCAATAAGTAACTGTAATACTTCTCTATTGAATAAAGGAATTTGAATATCAACAGTATATTAAATACAGTGCTTATTGCTTCAGACTATCAATCGGTCCATTCGAATGACGTCCGTGCATTTCCGCAAATATAAAAGTTATATTCAAGATCATATGGGTTTCCTGAGAAATTATGCAAATAGATCACCGGTTTGTTGACTCCCTGTAATATACTCCCTATTGCATTTCCATATAAACAACAGTATGAATATCCCACAACACTCACCTGGCGGATCCCGACTGGGCTGAGCCCGACCTGGATCTTGACTTCCTTGAGCCGGAAGCTGATCGCGAACGGCTCCTAGACCTGGACTTCGATTTGGACCTCGACCTTGACTTCGATTTCGACCTCGATCTGGACTTTTCCCTTGAACCGGACCCAGAACCATTTGATGCTTTCGATCTTTCAGACCCTTGGGGCGATTTCGATGCCGACTTTGAACGGGAACGGGACCTAGAAGACAAAATATTTTGTGTGAACCTATAAAAAATTGATATAAAAAGTAAAGTAGGTAGAAGAAGTAATAAAAATAAATAGGAGGTAAATTCCTCTGTACAGAGGGTATTACTCTGTATTAGGGTTAATTACTCCATATTATATCTTTGAAATATTTTTAGTTTTATTTCTAAAATATGCAGATTTCATCACAATGCGTTCGTTCAATGCCGAGCACACTAAGTCAGTAAGCTATAGTTTAAGATGTAAAGAAATGATTAGCAAGGATTGTTTGTCGTTCTGATTTACAAGCTGGCACAGGCGTACCACGGACTCACAGAAGATCAGCGTGAAAAATTAACATAGTTTTGTCTGCTGACTGCGATAACAAGGGCTCAGTCATTAAAAGGTTGGAAATGCATTTGCAATCCCAAAGATGGACATGTCCATTAACGGCGGTAATCTCTTAATATCAGTGACTTGCCTGTTTGGTTGCAAACTTATTCAATGCTATCATAAAATTTTTAATAACATCCAACATTAGCTGTATATTGTGGCTGCAGAAGAATTAAAGTTACAATAAGTTAATTTTTGACAGTGATTTTTGAGTCTACCAAACTTAGAATAGACATAAGATATAGACCAAACCACTCACAACCCGGTTCTACAGACAATTATTCTAAGAGTACACTAAATCTGCATTTGAACATTCTCCTGTTATGTTATTATTTAGTTTCTAAGGGTCTTTAGCAAATCATGGCAGATTTTTATGAGTAATGTCTACATGTTCTGTATGCATACATTACTGGACGTTATTATATGGCACAGCTTTTTACCTCTCTTTTTCTTCACTCTGTTCCTGCTTTTCTTCTTCTTCATCCTCTTCTTCCTCCTCCTCTTCTTCGTCTTCATCCTGATAAACATATTGTAAGTTATTATTTAAATCATCTAAACATCAAAATGTATTATTAATGAATTGGATTGAGCTTTTAAAATAGTTTTTTGTTTCACTAAATAGCCTTCAATTGTTACCAAATTGTTATTTTTAAAATGAAATTAATTAAAAATTTAGAAATAATAAGAATTTCACTGGCTATAGCTTACCTTACTATTTTAGTTTGTCTATAAAAGGGCCAGTAAAAAGTGGACTGTGAAGTAACTTTTAAGTATTTTTACAAATCTTTTGTATGAGAATAAAGAAAAGTGTTGTTTTTAGACTTTCAGGCAATTTTTTAAATTTATCTCTCCGTAAGAACCGTCCTCGTACTTTAAGGAATATTATAAAAAAAATAATTAGCGAAATTGGTTCAGCTGCTCTCGAGATTTGCGCTTAGCAACACATTCAGTGATTCATTTTTATATATAGAGATGACACTTTTTTATTCAATTTATTTATTAACAGTAATGAACAATTAATTATATGCAGGCATAAATGCCAATCGTTAGTTGCAATTTTAATCGCCGACTTATCATGTGAAGCAGAACATTGTGAGGATACTTGCATAAACTAATGAAAAAAACATTTAAATAATATGTGAAGTCCGCCAATCTGCTGGTGTCTGGTGAGCTATGCCTAGTACCCTCAGTTAGTAGTGGATGACATACATAGGGGGGTCCATTAATCACGTGAGGCTCGAAAGGGGGGAGGGGGTTTCGCAAAAATCGCGAAATATAACAAGGGGGGAGGAGTGGTGTAGTAAGATATCACGTGTATTTATTATTTCTTCAAACGAGCGATCCTAAACTGGAAAGCAGTGTGACCTTGACTCGCCATTACATTTTTATCATGGTCCTTAATTTCATAATAAAAACTGGATTATGCATCTAAAAATTATGTATCTAAAGATAATATTCTAAATTATTTTAAGATTCTTTGTAGCTACAAAAAAATACATGTGATTTCTTCACCATGTATCACCAAGCGGGAGGTTTAAAAAAATTTAAAAAAAAAACATCACCTGATTAATGGATGGACCCTAAGCTAGTAATAAGTAAATACTGTAATGAAAGATGGTATATTCACCTGAGGTGGCTCCAATTGCTTCTCTCTAAGTCTAAGCATGCGGTGCTCAGATGCACTTAACGGCCTGTGAGTAACCACTAGACGCGTCAGGGCCTGGGCGGCGACACCAGCACGAGCGCGACGTTTCGACAATCGGACACGGGTTTCCAGCTCGTTGTAGTACACGCAATGGTTGCGGACAACCTGTAAACATAATTTCGTATGTTAAGTATGTTAAGTTTGGAACAATGTGTAAGTAAAACTCCAAGGATGGCATAAGTTCGAATCCTCGCAGCGGTGAAGAAAACTATTCATCCATTTTCTAGAAACTTTTAAATGTCCTCTTAAGAGCGGAGCGTAGCATTATGAAGAAATGTGTAAAGAAGCACTTAAAAATTGTTCAACTGATTTAAAAAAAAATGTCAAAATTTATAGCGGCACCAGCTTACAAAATGACCTTTGCTGAGAACAGATCCACCATAATCACTGCCTCATACGCATAGAGTATAAGCATTTTTATAATTTTGCGTATTGATGCTATGATGATGATAAATGTTTGTTAGTTCTAAACTTTAAAAGTTAGATTTAGTTGAAGTAATACTGATGACCCTGCTAATATTTTATAAAGGTTATACTTATTTAATATCTACTTAAATTAACAAATTCCAAAAAACTCACCAAAAAATAATTTTCTTCATAGCCTTTAGAAGCCTTGCTTTTAACATTCCAATTGTACTCCCTGGCCATTTTGTACTCATAAGTATCACCATCCATGTATGGGATACCTTCTGTTACATCACGTCTGCGTTTCTGTATGGTATCTTCAGTCGGAAGACAGTATGCCACAAATTGTTCACCGCTTTCATCCATCACACCTCTATAAACATCAAACGGTAATACCGAGTTATACATTTAAAATGGCTTGTGATTTTATTTTTTACTCACATGGAAACATTTCATTTAAAGATGTATAGAGTATATGCTAAATAAATTTAATTTAAATAATTAAAACAAAATGATACATACCGAATCATAGCCTGTGACATGGCTTCAATCTGTCCTGCTATATTCTTGTCAGCTGGTGCAGGATCAGTGTCAAATATAACCTGGGCACATGGGTACTTCCACATTTCAAAGTCTGGGAACACTGGCATGATCTCAACGGGTGTGACACCCGGTTTACTGTAATGTTTCTCTATAGGCTTTTTGTTATCTTCAAATGTCTTCTCAATAGCTTTAATCTGGCTGTCTCTATCCATATATAGTGTTTCTTCACTAAATATTTTTTTAACATTGTAACCAACTTTGGCTTCAACCTGTAAATAAATGATACCATATATAATTGCAATGCAGCTACAACAGATAATGTTTATTTAACCACAATACTAATTATTCTAATTTTAAGTCATTGTAATGTAGGAAAATTTCATAAAGTAAGATAATAAATAGATTTCTAAAACTAAACCCACCTTTTCCATAGATTGTGGCTGGAATCTTGTCTGTTCAGTTGAAATATACTCAGAACGCCGCAACCAAGACACATTCTTGGCATGATGTCGAGATCTTTTAGAATCTTGTGGAGTAAGAACATCATCTTCTAAAAGCTTTTCATCCGCAACATCTAACGTCGCATTGCCATCGCCTTGATAGATGTCACGATTGATTAAATCAATGTGCACTCCTAAATCATGCTCAGTCAGCACTTCGTACCGGTAATTCTTCTCTAAAGATGTAGGGTTGTATTGAATAAATCTTGTGGAAGGAAATGGGTACGTAATGAATTTTAAATCAAAGGGTATATCAGGGAGCGTATTACAATACTTGACTCTTGTAACTAATTCAGACCTGTAAACATGAAAAGTTGTTATTATTCAGTTTCAATTTTGTATATATATCGTTATGAGTTCTTACCAATGCTATTATATACAAATATTATTTCTTAAAACACAATTGGTTTTTACTAACCTCCTTTCACCAGTCCTCTGCGGTCGTTTTTCCCTTTCGGGTTCATTAGTTTGAACAGTAGGAGGCATTTTAACGCTTCTTCTAACTATAACATTCTAAAAAATAGTATCGTATTGAAAAATTGAGGAACACATTACACAAACACAAATATCGTTTGACAAATAAAAATTTTTTTTTTAAAAGATTTTATGGCCTGGTAACAAAACCTTTAAGCCAAACAAATAAAAATAATATATTAAACTATTAAAATAGATAGACGGAGAAAGACAATTAGAGATGGGCACCTTGCTCGATTAAGTCGATTGTCATTCGAACTCGTCGAATCGCACTGACTTACATGAATGCCGTGAGAGCTCACTCGATTCAAGTTCGAGTCGGCTCGAGCTCGAAGCTCGCGAACAGCCTAAGGTTACAGCAATTCGACCAGAATAAGCTAGTTATCGAGACTGACATACTTAATAAACGAGAAAGTAATATCACTATACGCTCCATTTCATCTATACTCATCCGATCATGTGGTTTGGAATCTGGCAGCTCAATGTGAAATCTACATTTATAATGTTCCTAGCGACCCTCTCCGGTTTCGCACGAGTGCAATGTATTGTACATATGAACCTTCCTCTTGAATCACTCTATTTAGTAAAAAAAACCGCATCAAGATCCGTCATACATAGGAACAGACAGGCAGCGGGATGACTTTGTTTTATACTATGTAGTGATGCACAGCAGAGACGTTTACATTTCAAGTGACATTTTACCACAGTCAATCACATGTTTTGCCTTCCCGGAACCCCTCCACTAACACTTAAACTTTATGGTATGGTATTAAAGTTCAATTTGACTTTTAAGTATTATTACGAATCTTTTATACGGGAATATAGAAAAGTGTTGTTTTTAAACTTTTTCAGGCAATTTTTAAATTTTTTCTTTCATAAGAACCTTCTCCTGATAATAACAAGCCGTTCACGTGTAATGGCGTGACCAAGGGAAATAGGGATTCATTTTATATATATATATATAGATACAGGTGATTATTAGTAGATTACTGTTACTACTACCTCCTCTGAAGCAATGACAATTGATATATCATTTTAGATTTTCGCAGTTTCTCGGAATGACTTGGAAATATTCGCTTATACATCATCTACCTGAAATTATCAATTATTTTCGAATGCACCTGTATTACATAATCAATCTTTCGGCATATTTTAGAAAGCAGGTAATGTTTGACGAAAATCCAGAAACCACATACTTATAGCGCAAACGCTTAAAAAATGACGATGTTTTAGTTTATAGATTGATTAATACTTGATTCAAAAAAGTAGTTCTTCTTCAGTAATGAATACTACAATATATATCAGTCGACTTTCAACAATTGGCAAACTTACACATTAAATTATATCCCTATAGTATGATTAATCACCTCGTCTGGGTGCGGGTGACAGGACAGGTGAGAGTTTGACATGATAGAGTCAAACAAATCTTGCTCAAATAAGTAAGTACTGCTTATCGAATCTTAGGGCTTAGTATATTATATCGATTAAAAACGATAAATGTATTCGGAATAATTTTTAAAACAAATATGTTGAGAAATACCTATTATTTAAATGTTTGATATCCATTTTTCCAATATTGTTTTTATCCTCGATATCTATTTTTAAAATTTTATCCATAAAAGTCATCGATATACATTTTTGTACAAATCCAGATTTTGAATCTAAAAAGATTTACTCGCTGTATTTCATATATATAGTTTGTGGTAATACTATTCAAGAAACGTGTCGAACGCACTATATAATAATGTATACCATTGCCTTGCGCCCTAGAAGAAACGATTGTTTTTTCCATTTGCGACTTGCAACCATCCGTCACAAATTACGGAACTTGTAGGCGTGATTTGAATGACAGCTGTCAGCTGCACCAAGGTCTTACACCCCCTTAATACCCATTGACCCTACCTACCTAGGGCCACCCAATTTAATGCCTTCCGTCGGATACTTTTTATACACAATGATGGTTCCCCATAGAACCTTTAGCCTCCACGTACTAATCCTTTAGATGCGTAAGCAGTTAAGCAGTAGTGTTGCAACTTATTTTGTTCAAGCTTCGCCAGTACCACTTCTATTTGACATTTAATTGGCCATAAGATTACAGTAATCCTCGCGTGACCAATGGTAATTGGCATTTTGTATCGTATTGAGTCCTAAGAAGTTCTTGTAAAAATAGTTAATTTTAAATTTAAAAGTATTATTTATATATTCAATTATGGTTTGCTCACCTTTATAAAACCTTACGAAAACGAATATGACACACGTGTCTGAAATATTGAAATGCAATACGGGGACATGATTCTGAGACAACGTGAATGATATGTGATATGTGAACGCGACCTGTATGCACATACACACATAGTTAAACTCTGAGACAATATATTCAGAATAAAATAAATATATATTTTTTTTATGTGAAAAGTTGTCATGCGACCAGGAAGTTTACCTGGCGTTAAATGAATAACACCGGCCATGGACAACTACAACAATCGATGCCTTGCTGATGCAAACTTTAAAAATGTGTGCCTCGGTTACCTAACTAAGCAGACGAAACGCGAAAGTTTAATACTTCCAGTACGCCGGTCTTCTGTGGAGCCTTGGTACTTCCCCGGATGAGCCTGCCTATTCGAGCACAAGACACATTTTTTATTAACGAAAAACAAAACCGACTTCAAATATCTCGTTCTGTATTCATTTTATAATTGATTTTCAGGAGTTCCCTACGTATCTCTGGAGCCCAAGATCCAATACCAATGAAATTAATATGGAACCACATGGAAAGCACCAACTTTTAAATAAAAAAAAAACATCAAAATCGGTTTACTCAGTCGGAAGTTCTGAGGTAACAAACATAAAAAAATACAATCGAATTGAGAACCTGCAAAGTTTTTGAAGTCGGTTGAAAAGCAATCGAGTGGCCCTATCACAGACAGTATTATTATAATTGACATCAATGTCCTTAGTTTATTTATGAGTTGTTTTAAAGTTAATCCTCAGAAAGTTTGGCGGAATTTGTTCATTTTGTTGTTAATATGTTTAAATAAACTATGGAAAAGTTTTAAAAGGTGATAAGAATTTTCCTTATTCATATTAAACAAAAAAAGTATAAAAAATAGTACAATCACAGTTTCCAAGTTTTAACAATTAATTTTTAAATCCGTCTTTTAGCGTGCGTACGTATTTGTTGTTAGAAAATTTATTTCTAACCAAACATATCTCACCTTTTATAGAGTGACAGAAAAGTGAATTCGTTGATTCGCTGAATACGTTACGTAGCGATATAATAATAATAATAATAGTGAACTTCCTACCATCAAGCTGACACAAATAGTATTTTGAATTTGTTGTGTTCTCTCATCCTAACACTACCGGGATCCGGGCACCGGGATCCGGGCACCGGGGATCGAACTCAGGTTGCTGGAGTAAATGTAATTAAAGGCAAGCGCCCGGATACTGAGCTATCACAGCTCTCTAGTAGAAATAAGGATAACTTAGGTGTTTTATTAAATAATTTATTTAATATTATTCTCGATTTCAACATATAAGCCAATTATAATAATTAATCAAAAGGATATAACTAATTTGTTAATAAAATAAATAAATGTAGCCTAAAACTAAAAACCTTAAAAAATAAATAATATAAAACTAATATATTATTAAAAGGAGTCCCTTTAGGCAAGGTTCCGAAGATACTTAGGTGTGTATTTATATCTTGCTTCAAGTATCATTACCAAACCGAGAGTTTCTTAGTGGAAAAATAAACTGTATCTACAAAATTATAAAATTTAATTGCATCATTTTTATAATAATTGATACATCATTTTCGACAATCTTTTGTTTTTATACCAAAACAAGCCAAGATTTTATTTTAATTTAGCATATGGCAATTATGTAGATCCGGAAACACCTATCACTTCTTTTCTGGATCATTTTCATTCGCCCATCGTATTGCGCCGCCATCTTTCTTTTCTTACTGTTGTCGGCTAAGAGGTACGTTTTAATTGTTGAATATTCTGTTAAATAAAATATATTTAGGGACTCAAATTTAATCAAAATACACTGTCGTTTGAAATATTTGTATAACTCCATGAATAATAACAAATGATTCTGAATTCCACTAAAAATTGGTCGACCATGCGGTTTCGCTGCCGAAACGGTTTTGAAAACTACTGCGCATTATGTTTTCCGCAAAATAATACAAAATTTTTATGGGTGCCATTAGATTCTGGTCAGTTTATTGAATCATTGAATATTAAATTTCGTTCGAGAAAAATAAACTGTCAATTCTTTTTTCAAAACCCGGTATGTGCGATCAACGTGGCGCGAAGGAGTAAAAATTCGATATTTATTTTAGATACAATATGGGTTCTGTGGAACGTGCCGGCGACGCGACCTCTGAGGTTGAATCTGGTGAAGAGGAGATCGTTGGTGGCGGTGAACTTGCCCAACATCTGATGAAAAGGTGAGAAAGGTTATCTTGCTTAGCTGGTTGCCATAGAGACTTAATTGTTTGTGAAATAATATTTTACTATTACTTTATTTTTAGTTATTGTACTCAGTTTTAGTTTTGCGTTTTACGTAACATTTAATTAAAAATGTACGTTTGATAGACTTGAAGCACGTGTTGGTGTTCAAACGCCGGTGTTAATTGAGGGCAAGTGCTGCTTCTAGTGAAGCGTTGTAGCCGTTACATGACAAAAAACAAATGCATGCTTCAGAGTTGTTTTCTGCGTTCATTATATTCATATTAAAAAGTCTACGTAGAATTTTGATGTCTTTTTTTTACTACTTTGGTTTTTTTTGTGATTTTACTTCTTTATATAATCAAATTACTGTTTAAAGTTACCACAAGGTCTTGATTAACGTGTTAATATTTACTTTATGATAAATTACTAACTCTTGAATAATTTGACAGTAAAACCACATTACTATACAAATACAAGTATATTGTCGCCAACAGACGACTAATCTTTTCTTTTATAATTTTTCTTAATAGGCAGATCATTCATTAAAAATATTTTTTTCTTTTCCTAAACTAACTACAAAGAATTTATTGATAGTAACTCTTAAAAACAATAAGATATATACCAATGTAAAAGATATATTTCACATATATATCAATATGTTGAATAGTGAAATATGTGAAAGACGTAGTTTTGCAAAATTTAGCACTACGACTCGAAATGCACCTGTATTCTCGCCTTGTACCTTTGCTACAAGATTAGATACTGTGGATAAATGATTCATCCAACGTGCCCCAATTTTTCCTTTATTATTGCAACAGTTTCGGGAGAGGCGAATTGCGGCGTTGTAGTACATGTTCTCGTAACACCATAGAACAGATTTTATTACAGGCATAAATTTAGCTGAATAATGTTTGTTTAGAGTTGATGTCACTAATCTATTTAAAACGTGTTGTGTACTCATTTTACTAGTATAGGTTACAATTTCTATCCATTTTATTGCGTTTCGATACTTTTACTTAACCTATATACTACATCGTAACCCTGTAGTCTATCATCAACAAAATCAATTCACCCAATATTACACGAAACTGTTAAAAAATATCAAAATCTTTTATCCGACCATTTTAAATGGTAGTAACTGAAATTGCCGATAGCTCGGACCAATAAAAAGGACTACTTTTCATTTGTCTGCGACGGATACAGAAAGTCTTAGCGAGAGTTCACTTAAGACTTCATTTAATATTAAACACGGAATGGAATGTTGTTTATTATAATATTCAACTTGACAAACGTTTGTTTTTGTTTACCTAAAGATAACACTATCCTGTGTTGATGCAAGGACGTTTTACATACATAAATTTCACGTGGAAAAACAACCAGATCCGAAACAATTATCTGTGGATCACACAAATACTTATCTCATTTGGGAATCGAACCCAACTATCCCCGGCGCCGAAACCAGTGCATTTGCAATTGCGCCAAGGTTCCTTCTAATCTAATAATGGATATAATTAATCAATCTATTGGTTTTAATTTATGCTTAGGCATTAATGCGTTTAATTTTTCGGTTATATTATTGTTCTCTAGACGTGGCATGTATTAAGAAAAATCTGGTTCAATAATGTGCTGGGCACGTGGTCACCCTGATCAATTTCCAACATAAGAACCTGATTCGATCCGTACTCGAGATTACGGGTCATTGGACCAATGAGTCACCGCATGCTCCACTTGGTGTACAATGGCCCTGACATCTCATACGATTGTTCTGATACCTCAAATTTTCTTTAGCGTTTGTCAAGCGTCTTTAGGCGTCTTTTTGGGCAAGATTTTGCCCAAAAAGACGTCTAAAATCAAAACACTGAAGAGCGTGAAGCGTTTAATACAAAATTTTAATAGAGTTGAATTATAAATAGATCATAGACCTTACTCTTTCATTTGCGTATATATATCGAAGTAATTTGACGGATGTCCTTGTCCCGCGTAAAATTCATTCTTCATTTGTTTGTCCAATTCTTTCTTCGGCTAACTCGAATTGGCGAAACTCGTCGAAGAATCTAGAGCGCAATAAAGTTATATCGTATTATTATTAAATCCACTTTGTTTATTACTGCGTGAATGTGATTTATGCGCCAATTAAATTATTTTAACTTTTTTTTACCACCAGTAAAATTGTGCCTTGCATATTATGATTCTATAATTTTATTATAAATCGCCACTTAGACGTTAAATTGTTGCTTGTTGGAATCTATTTATATCTTGACCGTTATGACATCGTGACCTCAAGAAATTTAAAAGAACTTCAGAAATCGTTTTTTAAAAAAAATATTATGGTGGTATGATGCGAGTATTTTTCACATAAATGTGAAAATTACAATTAAACTATTAATCGTAACTTTAACACATTTTAATACTGCTAAGATTTTTCTGTTTTTGTTTGCCAAAGTATATCATAAAAAAGAAATTTTCTCTTCGATATGGCTTTTTAGAGCGCGGTCCATTAAAGACCCAGTGTCACTGTGTTTTTATAAAGTCCGAGTCTCGAATAGTCGTCACAAATAAAAACATTCCAAATAACAACCATCAACTTTTTTTTTGTTTTGCATAACGACACATACGCTTATATTATGACGTGTCCATGTACTAATTTTATTAAGCCCTCGTATTCGTACGAAATTCAAATACGATATTCATCTAGGGCAGTGATTCTCAACCTTTTTTTTGTTGCGGCACATATTTAACGATTTCAAAATTTGGCGGCACACAAAGAAAAAGATAAAAATTATTTACTTACTACAACACACTGCATAAATAGTTTATGACAAAAATTTTAAATATACGAAATAAACTAATATATACTACAATAATAACTAAACGTTTATTAAGGGATTAATTACAAGCTAATAATAAAAATATTTTTAATGCGAAATTTGAGCTTGATGTTTTTTGATAATTTCATTTATATTTGGTCGTATAAATGACAATGCTACTCTCATATCGTCTTCTACATTTAACAATCTTGATCTTTTTTTAGTTTTAATGTTGGCTAATGCCAAAAAATATTTTTCTTTTTAAATGATATAATTTAATAATATTAACATTATTATATATTTGCAAAATTTGGCGGCACACAAAAGTGCCGCGGCACAGTGGTTGAGAATCCCTGATCTAGGGTATTGCAAAATTTACATTTGCATGGATAACGATGAATATCTAAATGAGGTCCGTTGTCGCCGGTTTTGTTTAAGGGCAAAACTTAAAAAAAAAACATCTGCCAGTAATGAAATGATTAGATTTGAAAAAGAAAAACTTACATGCCAGGAATGAAATGATAAGATTTGAAAGAAGAACACAGTTGGTATTAATGGTATAATATTTTTTTTTACAGTGGCATCACTCGCAACGAGATGCTGGCCGCCATCACGAACCGCATTCATGCTGAGACCCTCGCCTCGCTACCCCCAAACGTGCGTCGACGCATCCGCGCTTTGCGCTCCCTCCAGAAGGATTTTGTGGACATAGAGGCGAAATTTTACAGCGAGGTTCACACACTCGAGTGCAAATACGAGAAGCTCTACAAGCCGCTTTTTGAAAAGGTATAACACATCCTTATTTTATACTCTTATAGTCCTATTACTCATGTTTCAAAAACAATACTACAAACTGTGTAATTTTGGTCAAGAAGAGACTAAATTGCAGCCAATAATTTACAATTTTCCATTAAGCCCAGTCGCGATTTTCAGGATAGGATTGTATTTGGACTAAATTATATATACAGCGCGTCGTTACCATCGCGACAATAAATGAACACACGTCTAACGCTACTTCCCAATAATCATAAAAATATATTAACATTAAACAAAATCCATAATTAAAAAAAAATATTTTTCAAACAAACTAAGTAAAAAAGAAACAGAATTTGTAACCTCCTATACAACTCGCGCCACATACAGCGTCGAATTACAAGCCTCTCCTTCTAACAGTATGCTATATCTATATGCTTTGTGACCTTTACAAATGAACTTTACGTTACGCTTTTATAAGTAAGGGTGTTCTAAAATTCTTTGTTTTGGAAAATTTAATAACTCTGTAAATATTGATGTTTAAAGAATTTAAATGTTTAATACAACTTTAAAAAGTTATCCTCTATATGTGTGTTCATTTATTGTCGCGATGGTAAAGACACGCTGTATAATAGAATCCAAATATTAGCCATCATCTGGTCGAAACATATATTTGTATAAGGTGATAAATAGACCAGTCATCGAGTGGACTCTCAGTCAATTATTGTATTCATTGTTATGACTATTCATTAATATCACTAATATATGCACCAATAAAAATAAGTAAATGATTATGATAAAACTGGCGGTAGCCCTGACTAAAAATGACACTCAGACGTCCAACGCCTAGATCTGTCCCGTGACCATGAACACTGTACAGGCAGGCAAAAAATCCGTAAACATAGTTTCATTTAGTGATTATTGTGATATTATGATTATATTTAAACAGCGAGCACAAATCGTGAACGGCCTGTACGAGCCAACCGACGATGAGTGTCTGAACCCGTGGCGCGATGACTCCGAGGAGGAGGAACTGGCGCGCGCCGTTCAGAATGCCGCCATTACGGACGGCGATGACAAAGCCAAGGCAGGCGACGAAACTAAACCTGCTGAGTGAGTGTCCAGATTTTCCATCCTACTTTAATATAACAGATTGTCAATTTAATATTGACGTAAGAAAAAAGGATGTTTCGTCGCTGTGGGAATCAAATAAACGTCATCCGCAATCCGGATTTTATCACAAAGCTAAACAATTGATTGCACAATGTCTTTTCTAATTCTAATTATTTAAAAAAATAATTTACCTAAATTATTTTTTCGAATTTCAAGTAATGCTTGGCACATCTTTATTATATCCTTTACAGCATACAAATAATTTCAAATATTATTTTTACAATAATATGAAATTAAATTTTTTTTAAAACTGCACTTAAAGATGAAGCATTAAAATTTGTAGAAAACCATTAGTACATATTTAATAATCTATATCAATAATAAGGGTTTTAATAATCTCATCTTTGCATTAAGAAATTGTAACCAATGATGACATAACACACCAAATTACTGAAAATCATGATTGATTTGTTTTAACATGCATCACCAACTGAAGTAACTAACATTACGAGCTTAGTTCATTTAAAAATATCTTTGTATTATAATACAATTTCTGCTGTTGTAGGCCTGCTATGGACCCAAATGTGAAGGGTATCCCCGACTTCTGGTACAACATCTTCAGGAATGTGTCTATGCTGAGTGAAATGATGCAGGAACATGATGAACCCATTTTGAAGTGCTTGCAAGACATCAAAGGTATGTAATATGAATATATAGTAATAAATAAAGTTTATTTTAATAAGGATTATATTAGACTTACTGGGTGCTGTGTGTTATAATAATTTATTTCTATTGCGCTGGTTAATATCTATATTCCTTTTTTTTTAATTACATTAAAATACTGATGTAATATCTAGTTTAAAATGCAATTAGAGGATTACAATGTACAATAGTGCAAAAGACAATACATATGCAACCTAAAACTTATATAACTTTGTTGACTTTGTTCTCACCATCTTTATATGTTTTTGTTAACAGTTCAAATGCATGAAGATCCATTTGGCTTCACCCTGGAGTTCCATTTTGCACCAAATGATTACTTTACAAATACAGTTCTAACTAAGGAGTATGCTATGAAGTGTAAACCTGATGATGAAAATCCATTGGAGTTTGAAGGGCCTGAGATTTATTCATGCAAGGTAAAACCTCTTTACATAGTTTACATATTTCCAACACTATTTAATAATGTCATTTACTTTATTATTACATTTCTTTTAAAATATAAGCTTTCAAAATAGTTTGTTACATCCAAACTTATTTGTAGGGTTGTGAAATCAACTGGAAGAAAGGCAAGAATGTAACTGTGAAGACAATAAAGAAGAAGCAGAAGCACAAGTCGCGTGGCTCAGTGCGCATCGTCACCAAGTCTGTGCAAGCCGATTCTTTCTTCAACTTCTTTTCGCCCCCAGCGGTGCCAGAGGACCCAGACTCTGATATCCAGGTGAGTTAATGTCACCGTGTGTTGACAAATTGTTTCGTTTTTTATAGCCTTGTTTGTTACTGTATCAATGACAAATGTTGGATTTTGTTAATAAATATCTGTTTTGTTAATAAATATCCATTTAGTTACTTCTCAATTAATCATTTAAGTCTTAATAGTAGTGTAAGTTCTAGTAGGAAATCTGTTAATTACTCGCAAATTGTTCATTTTAGGCTTGTTTGAACATTTAGATGCTTCAATATTTTTCTCTATTACTAAATCTTCATATGTTTAAAAATTTAGGCATGTCCAGAGAACCGCCAAGTTGTTAATTTTTTAATGAAACTATTTTGTGGATTTAGTTCCGTTTAATTCAATTTAAATTCCCGAAGTACATGACAATTAGGTAAACAGTCCATGAAATGATACTAATAGATTATTTCATTTAATGAGTTGGATGATTAATGAATACCAGTAGTTGTCTGTTTAATTATGTTTATGGGCCATTAGACACACTTGAGAGTACGACATGTCATTCACTTTGAGATAAGTCCCCTCTCAAATGAGAGAGGACTGGTTGGTAAAAATCATCACAAAATGGATCATCACCTGAACAACATTGACTGTCACCATTATTCATAGCATGTGGAATACCGTTGTGTACCAATCAGAATAGTAGATTGTGATCTCATACTGTTTGCATTTACTTCACATCTGGATGTTTAAAGTATTTTGTGTGAATTACCACTTGAAAACATTTCCCCATTACTGTACAGTAACATCTTGTGTTGTAAGGATGCTTAACATACATAAATATAATGTGAACAAACAATCAGTTGTGTGGGAATTGAATTCCTCACAGCATAGCGCAGTTGCCATGGTATCCCCACGGAGTTGTCTCTGCTTACCAAATGCTAATCTGTTGTTTCCCGTCCCACAGGCTCTCCTGACTGCTGATTTCGAGATCGGGCATTACATCCGCGAGCGAGTGGTCTCCCGCGCAGTGCTCATCTACACGGGCGAGGGGCTCGACGAAGATGACGATGACGACTATGAGGAGGAGGTATGTTCCCTTTGATCCCTTCCAATGCACAAACCGTCCAGGTGACCTAGGTTGGTAAACAAAACTGATCTTAATGATACAATTTTGAATATAAACCTCTCATTGTACCAGAGATTTCTCAGTGGTATTTTAAAAGGTCAAGTCTGGGACTTTAGCTTTAAATGTAAAAAAAAATTGCATAGCAATTAAAACTGGGTTGGTTCTCTCTCATGATGATACAATTTGATTTAAATGATGCTAATAAAGTGATAGATCTCCTTGATTAACACATTTAAAAGGGCAACAAAATAATTTTCAAGCCAATTTTAGTTGTATACAATTCTTTTGCCACCACTCTGCCACATTTATTGGTATATAACAGCATTAAAGTCATATTGTGTTGGGCCTTATAACTATTTAAGAAAAAGAAATTTTCAAATTGAATAAATTAAATGCTTTCTTTCTTGTTCTCTGCAAACATTTTTTATATTCAATTAAATTTTATACAGCCTTACCTAGGTTCCCTGCCCTGGTCAATTAGCTATCCTCACTATTAGATTAGTCACATTTCAGTTGTTTTTAATTAAAAAGAAGTATGATATGGACATAATTATATGAGTAATATGACGCGCATGCGTTCTTCGCTTCAAACATAGTGAATTCTACAGCCATCTCGTATTCATACAAGCGGTTTGCTTGTACATATTGCATGGTAGTTTTTGCAGCTTTGAATTATCCCCATAGATCCAATCAGACGAAGGTTTGGTATTTGCTAATAGATGTGTAGATGTACCCTTATTTTATTTAAAAAAAAATGTTCATCAAATTGAGTATGGATTCATTACAACTATATTACACTTTGTGTCATAAATCATAGTAAGAGAGGAACAGTGTGTTTATTTTTTTTGTTAAAGATGACAAAATCATTTTAAGGCCTACATTTTTGTTCATTTTAGCAATATGCAATGTAAATATTTTCTTATTTCCGGCATAAAAGAAGGTTTGCAATTTACACTTGTCCTCCAACTGCTTCGGTTGGGCCATAATTTACGCGTGTGATTGTTTTACATGTATGGTGTTGTGATGGTTTAAGTTTATCGAATAGTATACAAAAGTACCTCTTGTGCTGTTCTCCTTTTCCTATGTGCCTGTCTATATATAATGCCTATACGATGCTAGAATCGCGAGCGTAGCGCCTACGTCTGGTTGGATACCCTTGGCTGCGCCAACAAAAGCGGTGTATTTGGTTTCAGGAGGATTCTTATTCTGACGAGGACTCTGGCACGGAGGAGGTTTCTGACGCGGAGGATTGATGCAAGAGCCCCCCCGCTAGCATTACGTTACGTTGAAGCCTGTTTAGGCGGTCCAGCTAACTTAGGTCAACGCAAAACTAAACACCGTCTGACCAAAGTTTCTCGGACTACATTAGCTCGAACACTAAATTACTGTGCTTTAAACCGCTATCGTCGTCATATCCACACCATATCATAAACATTTGCGATTGTACCAAAAAAAAATTAGAAAAAGAAGAGCGAAAAGCATTTCCTATTTTCGTGCGTTAGATTATAATTAAATACTCTTGGAGTGCGTGAGTTCTCTTTTGCGGGGCGCTTGGTCCTGATCCTATACTAGTTGTTTTTATTCGTCGGTTTAGTCAAGTTTTATAAATTGATAGTATTTGTGCGCTAGATGTTAAGGTTAGGAATTTCTCGCGTATATATTTCTATGCATGATTTATCCATTGACTAGATAAATATGTTTTAGATAGTGATTTTGAGCCCTGTAAGGGCTATCCAAGAAAGCGAGAACAAATGGTGCCTTATAATAATGCATGTTAATTGTTACACGTCTATTACGATACTATATTGCATTTCTAGATTAGTTATACAATTCTCGTTTTTATTTATTATATATTAATAATTATTGTAATAGTGTGTATCTCTTTTTTTTTTTGTACGAATTTTACGTATTCGTTTGTGTACTTGAAATTTCATGTGATATTATTGTTCTCTAAGGCTATTATTTATATTTCCTACTGAAATTATTTTTTTTAAAAGCTTCCATTCCAACAATAATGAAAATTGGTCGCTAACAGTGAACGCCAGTGAGTGTTTCCACGAATAGACGTTTGAATCTCTCGTTAGTGCCAAAATACATTTTATACCGGTCAAGGATATTTAACTTTGCAAACTGTGATCTTCCTCATAATAACTATATCGACGATTGTCAACAGTTTGTTCGGACTAGAGACGGGCGTATATTTTTTATTTATTATGTAATCTTCTATTGAAGTCTGCAGATTCCGTCGGTGTTATAGGAGCTGATCAGATAATTTTTTACACATACATACATACCGGTTATGGCTTTTATGTTTTTGGCATGATGTCCCGTTGACGACATTAAAAATTGTATGCTTTTTATCCAAGTGTGTTTTATTTATTTTCACGATCCTTTTATTTTCATTATTTGCATGCGATTAGTTGGTTGTGTGAGTTGTTGATTGACTACGGTACGCAGATGGTTGCAGAATTCACGTAACGTTAGCTTCGAAGTGAGATTAGGCGCAGATGTTTGCGCGAGTGTTTTTTATTTTTTAAAGAAGTCCTGTCCAGCCTGATGGTAAGCGGCGATGTATGTAGTTTCGGGTGGTAAACTCACATGCAAGGCAAAAACTCATACATATTGACTTGTTCCTTTGAAGACGTTCGCATTTTAATCGGACTAGAATTTTGCCCCTGGCAGATTTCTCCTCTAATATGAACGCATTACGAACCGAAGGGGGAGGGACAAAATTTATTGTTAAAACGGTTCGGACGGGCGTCTAGTCTGATCGATGATGGTTTAGGGATGTCGAAAATGAAGAAATATGTCTCGATATATCTAAGAGTCACCCCGTTGTCCAAAAAGTATATTAAAATATCTCAAGTATTAAATGCTTGACACCTTCGGGACTCTGTGCCGGATTCGATTTATTTTTTCGACATCCCTATGATGGTTGTATTTAACTGTGGCTTATGACCAGGAGGAGGAAGAGTGCTCGTCGGAAGAGAGCGACGATGAGGAGCCGGCTCCGCGGAGGAGGGGCAAGAAACACGGCAAGGGGCCGCAGGAAACTCCGGCCGAGTGCAAACAGCAGTAGCATTAAGCCCCTCACTGTGCCGCGTCTCTGTGGTCCAATTTCGCACTGGCAACCCGTTCGCGACTCGCTAGCCGAGTTTCCGTTGCGTTGCCTTTTTGTAATGCATTGTCTACTCTAATAACGCATCTGTGCCAGGAGTAAATTATCTCTCCATTGTCTGGACAGTTGGGATATTGAATCGTCTGAGGACGCACAGTTTATTTCCATTTGTTGGCCGAATCGCCATTGACTACGTTCGGAATACGCCGGCCGTCCAAAAAAATGTTGATACTAGTTCCTTTTTTTTTTCTGTTTGTGATAAAAACGCGTTTTTTTAACACTGGATATATTTTTATCCCTTTTAATTCGTTTTTTGAAATAATTGTGTAAAAATAAATCTTCCTAACACATTCCTTTACGAGTGAACGTCTAGATTTTTAACCAGCTTTACTTAATGTATTAGAGAATATTCCGCCTTCAATTAAGATTAAATGTTTTAATTTGTAAATGTCCAACACCTAATTACAAAATTCATAATATGTTCGCTATATGGAGGTGCTAGATTGTTTACAGTTCAGTTATCACAGATTGTTTAAATATGGCCAGGCAACTTGTCTAATTTTGTTTGTTATTCGATTATCTATTCAGTATATTTAACTGTCTTTAAGACTGTATGCTAATTATAGTGTAATCATCTCAATTCTGAAGAAATGATTGTCAATATATACCTAAATGTAAGAGGCATTAGTTAACATTGAAATCTATTTAAGATATAATAATAATAAACAATGGCGGCCGTAAATAGAAGAGAACAATCTAATGGATTTTTCGCGCAAACCGTTTATATTAATGATCTGCATCGGCGTACATCAACCAGCTAATAGGTATTTGTACACATTTTCTATAATAAAACCGTATACTTTGAAATCAATATTTGTTTTCTTCTAATTGTTTGATTGTCACCACCTCTCATAATTTAGATGAAATTTATTTCTTTCTTTGTAGCTTTTGTAGAAACAACGAATTTTTAACTTATAACTGCTGTAACTGTAAATCTGCAGGTGCTCAATATATGTCAAAATAAAGAAATTCTGTTGTAAAAAGTTCTAATGATAAGGTCAATAAATAATATAGAAATCTTCATTTATTTGATTTTCTTTCTCGATCAACGCGTGTTGCTTATGAGTAAGAACCTTTAAAATAAAGGCATGATAGGCATATTAACGTTAGACTAGATCAAGACATTAAAAAGAATTTAAAGGATAGATGATACGCGAACAGAATTAACAACGCTCCGTTACTGAAGTATACAAAGGTAAAAAGCTTTATATTTTTAATTTGGGAGAGTTAATGATAAAAACAGATTTTCCACATAAATTTGAAATGTTACGTTTATATTGAGACATTGTTTTTTCAGCGAAGAAGCGAGGCCAATCCAAACTGCTCAGGACCCTCACAAAAGGAAATTGTCTGCCCAGTCGATTGACGAAAGATTGTAAGCAAAAAAAGTACTAACCCAACCAAAGAAGTTGTATTAACCCAAGTACGCATATAACTATATGCAATTAATACTGTAACTGACTCCTGGGGAGACCTAGCTTATCGATTAGTTATTTGAAATACAATAGTGGTTTATTAGACAGAAAACAGACCAAAACTGATCTGTTTCTTTGCTCCTGTTAGAATTTTAGATTGATATATTTATATGATGACTTTCACACACCTATTTACTGAGAAACATGACAGATTTCTTTTAACGTGCATCACCAACTGAAGCTCTATCTTTGTTATATCTCATGACTTGTACATAGTTTTTTTTAATAAAGTTAATCTTTGCAGACCTCTGGTGAACGTTATCAAACCAATATTCGACACGACACATATTTAGAGAAGAATTATGATACGGGGCCATGACAGACAAAGAAAAACCCTGTTATAAGGTAAGTTATTCAAAATATCCTAAGCGTATAAATCAATTTAAATACATGATGAAACCAAACACCAAATTTCTGAGTTCATGATTGATTCCTTCAACATGCATCACCAACTGAGGCGCGTACAATTTATACTAAATTTTTAATATTTATGAATATATTTTTTAAATTTAATCATTGTTTTAGATAAATCTGCAAAAGTGAATGCTGAGAAAAAAACTTTACACAATTAATCAGAAGATACAAAAAAAGGAACACAAGGATAGGAACTCATGTTAAAGAAGACCAAGACCATTGTATTCGTCGGAATAATTGCGACAACGCTAACGGCAAGAAGAAAACGAAGTGCCACTATACGAGTACATAGGTCAGACTAAAAGTTTCCGGAACTGGCCACTTACATAAACGATATTTAAAAAGTAATTACATTTGAAAATGGAACTCTTTGGCTAGGTAGAATGCAGTTTCAACAAGTCATGTCATGTCATTGTTTTTACATTGTGGCGCCATTTTAGAAATTGCGTGTCTAATTAATATGGATTTAACTCGGTAAAATTTTCGTAGTATGATTTTCTACGATTTAAAGTATAATTTGACGGTTCAGCGGAGCCTCGCTCAGCTTTCAACTGCTTTTGGCGATGAAGTACCTTGCCAGACTGCTATGTATTTATCTCAGTCGACAATATGAGCGGCGCGCGTGAAAAGTGCTTCTAAGTGATGATGATTGCTTCTCTTTTAATAAAAGCGGACACGTGGCTACTGTTGATTTAGAGATTCGTCGTACTGCGAATGGTACTGGTACAGAATAGTGGAAGATTATGAAAAACACGTTTATTAGATCACCGCAGAGTGGCGGTACAAATGTTTTTAAAATTCATTTAATCTTATGAAAAAGCACATTTACGCAAAGGGAGAAAGAATATTTTGAGAAACAATAAATTCAATTTTGCTCTTAATAGTATTTTTTCTTATTCATTCCGGAAAATTTTAGTGCGCCCCACGTACAGTGCGTAGCGGCGCTACTTGACAGTCTACGCTACGGCGTAGTGGTCGATCAAGCGCGCTTCAGTGGAGGCCAAACAGCGTAAAACGTCTAGAAAATGTCTTGTTTCGTCAGGCTTCTGCTCAGTGCCTAGACTATCTTATGTTATTTATGTGCTTATCCCATGTATACTAAAAATACATTTAAGTGCTTTTGGAATCATTTTGAAGTTTGAATTTCATTTGAATAGTCCACATCTGCCGTGCTTAACGCCCATGGTGGATAAGTAGAGATGACAGATGTAGGAGCTAACTTATATTATCCGTTATGTTTATATATGAATGACTTAAGCGGATACTGGTTTTATTAATTACCTATTAACAGGTTTAAGAAATTTATTAAAGAAAAACTTTATAAAAAGGGTTACTATAGTACAAATGAATAGTTAATGGCTCCCAAGCTATTTCTAAAAGGAAAAAAAAATCAGTTGCATATTTTAATTTTTTAAGAAAAAAAATGTATGACCCCAAAAAAGAGGATACCTACGGAGTTTCTGTCGCCTGGTTCTTCCCCGCTAGAGGAACTTTATTACGAAACAGTGGTAATTTTTAAAAAATATGACTATCGATAGATGAAATGTAAGCTGCTTATGTCGATGAATAAATGATTTTGATTTTTGTTTTTCTGTTTGTACCAAAGTTACTCTCATTAATTTAATTGAACAAAAATTAACTTGCATTCATTGTATTTATATTGTTAAATTTTATTGCATTGATATTTTAAACATCCAATCCTACTCATTTAATTGCTAGTATTTTGGAAAAAAAACCTGTAAATAGTTCAAATTTTTAATACATAATAAAAAGACAGAATTGATGAAATCTCGGGCCACGGCTAGGGTAAATAAAAATTTGATACAATAAAATCTCGAAAGTATGATTCAGGACCGATTTATTTCTTCAAAAGTAACAACATATTTATCACGATTTGTCTTTTCATTATATTGCTGTCAGATCTAAGCTCTACAAAATATACATATTAAAAGAGAATAAAGATCTTTTGTAACCTTGGATCATAAAAAAATATATTACCGTAAATTTTTCACTCCAATTATTCTAACCACCAAAACGCTTTTATAAAGGTTTAAGTACAATAAATTAAGTTTCATACAGTGGGGGTATAAGCAATATTTTACTAATGGTCTACTTAAATATGTATATTGTAAAAATTATTGTCTAGTAATAATACTAGTCTAAAAGAGGCAATAATAAGAAGTTGGCAACGTAACTGTTACAGTTAGCAGAATTGTAATGATTTCACCGTCGTTTGTACCTCAGTCTGAAAACATTCATTAGCACCAAATTGCCTTAAAATTATTCTAACATACATTAGCTAGAGGGGCAATCTATATCGCTATCATAAATACACGAAAATAGGGAATGATGCGATATGGTATTGGTTACATGTAACTTATAAGGCGATTAGTAAATTATTCTAGCGTCACATATACAATTTATGATCAAACACAACCCATTTGGACTCTATTGCAAAGGTTTAAAACTTCATTTAAATATTATAATTAAATATATCTAAAGAATTATTGATAAACATATACAATCGACATTTTGTTTGAGTAAAGATAATATCACTTGTGATTTTAGAATTCATTTTGATATTATAATATCTAACTTCGAAAATGTACATATAAATATAGTTTAACTGGCAAGTCATATCAAACTGGTAGTTTTTCTTAGCAATTGTCAATATAAATCCAAATTAGTTTACAGTGAAAAGAGCTGTAACATTTAAACGTAACTTTGCCTATTATTTATATACCTCTGGTAAAAAGTGATAAAAGTTTTATAAAAACCACTTAATACATAGTACATGTATCGTGTACACACTGTATAATTATATATTATAAAAGAGTTGAACTAATAAACATTTTTAATCTCTACGAAGGAAATATCAACATACCTATTTTAAGATAATTGCCATGTATTAATTTGGAGAAAAACCTTGGGATTTAAAATAGTCAACTGAGAGAAAACGCAAAAACTTGCTAAAAACAAAATTGTTTTACCAATAGGTTCATAATATCTTATTTATTGCTCGATGTATAAAAGAGTTAATGTAACTATCTCTATATGTAATGAAATAAATAACGCCTCTTTATTCAAAAGCATCTTCACAGGAAATTTTAGTTACAATAAAATACCAACAACATTCCAAATATATTTGTACCAATTTTTCCATCAAATAACTCTTAAGCTAAATGTATTGAGATTGCTGTCAAAGTCAGTACAAGTGTTTTATCTAAATGGCTTCGTCCATTTCATAGCCGAGTACTATATAAAGACACTTCCGGATGTACAAAATAAATATCGTACGTACGATACGGGGGTGTGTGAAAACAAACGTGAAAGGGAAAAATACCTAACAACGGGACACGTGGTGGCGAGAGGGACCATGTATTCGAGTGACTTGTGCACTCAAATGGATAAAACAAATCGACTCTGGACTACAATCTTGCCACGTGTATATCTCGCGAGCTCCCTAAGGCAACGGTGCATCAAAAGGCACGTGTCACGCGGGCGTTTTGGTCTTCTTGCCGAAGGGGAGGTGGATTCGCCTCTTCCTCGGCTTCGGCACCCCGTCGTCGTCCATAAGGGAGGAGTCTGTGGACTCCTCTTCGGGGGGGGTGTTGCTGGATGGGGTCGAGTCGGGCAGTGGACGGGCCTTCGTGAAGGGGTTCCGGGGCGGCGGCCTGGGCTCCTCCGGGTTGGCGGGGACGATGTCGGTGCTCCGCGAGCGGACCATCTGGCCGGTCGGGGGCAGGGGCCGCCGGGGCGGAGGCATCGGGGCGCCCCCGCCGACGCTGCGCATGGAGGCGCGCAACTGCGGCTGCGACTGCGAGTGCACCGCCCGCGTCAAATCCTCCCCGGTCCAATTCACGCTGCGGCGGGGGCAGAGATTGATTGTTAGTCTTTTTTTTTTAATTTCAAAATTGCGGCAACGAAGTCATACATACAACATTGTGTCATACAACCGCAGAAGCATAAGTTAGGTTCACGGTTCCCTCGGTTGAGGGATCCGAAACCTATTTACTAATTTTACTTCACTCCGATCTTCAGTTAAGCAGAGGATTAGCATGTAGTTGCTCTACCACAGTACAAACTGTCTATTCGAGACACTATCGTACACCAACAAAAACGTTAAGAAAGTTTTAAACTAATGTTAAAAATTACTATCTGTCATTGTGTTGACACTGATTGTCACTGACGACATTTGTATATTTATTTTATATTTTTCTCTCCCCGTATATGATTATTGTAAGTTATTGTATGTATTTTTGTAAGTTATTGTACAGTATATGTTTAGTTTTATGTATGTCTATTGTACATAATTAATTGGTATATATTAGTATATTATTATTATACAAAATATAAATATTCGTTCAGTTTATTTAGATCTTCGTATGTAAGTTTATCATTTGCACCAAACCGTTGTCCAAAATATTGTACTTTTAGCCACAAGGTTGTCTGGAAGAGATCGCTTTTTAGCGATAAGACCGCCTTATTGTTATTACCTTATAAGTTATTTATGTAACATTTCTCATCATATATGTTCATGGTGTTCATTAAATCATATATAATAAAAAGTACTGGGTTTCGGCGTCGGGGGTCGTGGGTTCAATTCCCACGCGGGACAAATATTTGTGCGACCCACAATATAGTTGTTGGCACTTGAAATTTATGTTTATGAAACGTCCTTACAACACAGGATAATGTCATCCTAAAGTGAGGGGCATTAAAGGGCAAAAAAATTGTCCCTTCTAAGAAAGAAACTTGGAGAACCGCTGCGCTGGAATCAAGTCACACACGAGCGGGTTGTGCACGCTCGTCAACTGGACCCTCACTTGTCTCCGCCGAGGACGAACTGCACGGGCTCCCTGCGCTTATCCTCTGCGGGGCTCTTGCGCACGTCCCCGTGGGAGCCGCGCGGCCTCTCGTGTAGGGACCTCCTGTCCTCGTCGCGCCGCTCGCGAGCCTCCTGGGCCAAGCGCTCCTCTAGCTGCAACCTGCGTTGGGAATCTTTCTTTTCTATGGAGAATGGTGGTAGGGCCACGCAGGAGCCTCGGTTGCACGAATGGGCAGGCTCGACCGGGTAAGTACCAAGACCTCACAGAAGACCGGCGTCAAGTGGAAGTATAATACTTTGGCATTTCGTCTGGTGAGTGTGGTGGCCGGAGCCCAATTTTCCGAAGAGGTTGTCAACGCATCTGGTACCCTCGGGTGTGGCAGATGCCCATGGGCGGCGGTATTCACTTAACATCAGGTGAACCGTCTGCTCGTTTGGCAACTTTCACATAAAAAAGGGGGCAAACGAGCCTGATGGTAAGTGAACACCGCCGCCCATGAACACCTGCAACCACCGAGGCGTTGCCGTGATTTTAGGATCGATCTCCTCATATCTTATATATTTCTTCTTATATCTTCGATGAACCCGTGGCAAGATGGCCGAGGTGATGGCTTCGGCGCCGCCGTTCGTGGGTGCGATTCCCACACGGAACAGCTATGATTGCGATCCACGGATGATTGTCCGCGTGAAGTATACGCTTGTGCAATGTCCTTATAACGCAGGATAATGTTATCGTACGGTAAGGGGATTTTTAAAAAAATGCCATATCGTATATATTTCTTCTTATATCTTCGATGAACCCGTGGCAAGGTGGCCGAGGTGATGGCTTCGGCTAACGCCTTTTACGTAGGTGAGCTTTCCCACAAACAGCGTGCAATCACGCGATCCACGTAAGATGTGAAGTGGAAGTACTCGGGTAATCATCGGGCCCCACTCTTTTGTACGGGGACCGATAATGTCGCATCATACGGTAAGGGGATTTTTCGACAAAAAATAGCCACGATGATTTTCGCTCAGTTTAATGTCAATGTAAGATTTCTGGACTTAGTTAAAAAGATTTAAACTACCCTCCGATTACCAGTTATGATACGGTGGTGGTGATATCTGGTACGGTGTGATAACTTGACAATTGATTTTCAAACATTATTATGTCTGGATCAATTTGACTGTCGCCAGATAAAATTTTCACGTAAACAACTTACCTTGCCTCGGCAAGTCTCAAATCCAGGGGATAGTGGGGTGCGTCGTGCTCCTCACTACCAGATGAATCTTCGCGCCAGCCGAAAGTTTCCGCTGCTGTAAATTGTTCGACGATACAATCTAATAACGAATTCGCTGTTTTATTCAAACATCTTTTCTAAACCCTAGTCCCCGTTTTTAAATACCACCTTTTGATAATTAATTGAAATTTAATTCGGTTAATTGAAATTGTCCAACGTATATTTTAGTTTTGTTACGCGTCTTTATACCAAAAGCATGTATGAGATTTTGTCAATCAACATGTTATAATATAAGCCATATTAAATTATTATTCGTAAATAAATAACAAGCAAAAATGTTTTTAATACTTTGCAATGTCTTACCTTTATATACAGTAGGAGTGTTGCCATTATAAAGCGGCACTAGTCTATTAAATATTTGCAACACTGAGGGGAAGCTAAAGGCGGGAGAAATAAAACAGTATCACAATCGTCAAAAGCTTTCAAACGTGCAAAAGAGAATTTGCTAATAGTAACTCTATAATGATAAAAATATATGATACGATGAAAACAGACAACTATCGGATGTTTCAACCGTGTAAAATCTCATTAGCAGGCTATAAAATGGAAGTGGTTATTAACAATGGAATGGAAATGGAATTTTCGTAATTAACAATATAGTAGTTTAATTATTTAATAATTTAAAGCCTTCTTTTTATTTATTATTATTTACAAAGTAAAATTTCTTGATAATCGATATATTGTGTAATAATGCAGTTTACGATACATTAAAAGTCCGATTAGAGTTAATACACGATATAAAACAGTTGTAATCTAGGATCTTATTTCTAATTTGCTTTTAAATGTATACCAAAATTAGTTTTTTGGCAGCTTATGAAACTTTAACGTAATTTTATTTTTATTATTCCAAATCTGCACCTACTATATTTCAAAAGAATGGCAGTAGTTTAGAAGAAAAACACTAAACTAAAAACTTTAATCGGGACGTTTTTAATTTAGTGTGTTTTCATTAACGACACGTTTAAAAAATATGATAAACGAACATTTCTCAATTCGAACGCCAATGAGACATCACACGCCACAACACGACAACATGAACCCATCTGCACTCTACAATGGCGATGTTTAAACACATATTTTAATGAGCACATTCCATTTTCAAAAATTTCAAATTGGGAGACAGCGTCACCGAACATGTCCCAATTCGAATTTCAAATTGGGAGACAGCGTCACCGAGCATGTCCCAATTAGAATTGACAGTACAGATCATGCAAATGGAAAGAGAACGCACAGCCCTTGACCACAGATAAGCGAAAATTGAAAATATGGCGCCCGTTGCAACAATCGTTAGAGGATAATTCATACATGCTTTTGGCAAATCGTCGCAATATAGGTCCGCAAATGGAACGCGAATCACTTTTGCAGTAAAACAAAGCTTGAAAGCTTCGTACCGATTGTGATAAGAAATCTCTGTGATAGAAAAAATTTATTCAATAAATGTGACACAATACAGTTTTTCCTTAAGACTAATCAATACGAATAAATGGTTATTCACATTCACCATATAAAATGTATATAATTTAAAAAATAGACTTTTTTCGGTTTTACAATTGCGATAAAGCCCATGTATAAAAATACCGTCTATAAAATTTTTAATATTTCATAATACATATCCAAAATACTTTTAAATAATTTCAATACACCAACATATAGATAATATAAATCGTATCACATTCGATATTTTTAAAACAAAATTAACAAATACAAAACTTATAACAGATCTACTACAGGAACAAACTTATTCATATAAATAAATATATTTGTGTAGTGTCCCAATACTAAAGACATTAAATTAGAATGTAGATTAAATTTTAGAAAAGATAATACGATCTATCAAATAATGAATACAGAAGTAAATATGATTAATTTTACGGTGTTGTTTCGATACAATCTTTTGCAATAGAAACTAATCAAAATATTCTACTGAAATGTATATTCGCATAAAATGAAAATGATAGAACTTGTTTTGATTTGAATCAAGCTACTCCATTTTGTACTAAAAATGTCGACACTAACTTAAGTACTTTAAAACATAATACTAAAATAATAAAAATTTGAGCGCTAAGTACGCACTAGAAGCGATTAGATTAAGTAAGCTGCTAAATTAAGCTAAAATAAATATTAGTAACTTATTGGTAACTGAATGGGCTATTAGCATAGAAAAATGGCCAAGAAAAGAACTGACGCCTTTTGTTACAGGGAGGTTGATATGAAGACGTATTAAAATGGAAAAAGATACAATCTACAACCTAAACGCCAGACATCAGCAAGAAAATAATTTTGATTGGTAAAGGCCCATTTACACGGTGCAAGTTTCTTGCCTGTTATATACAATTAAATTGAAGCAATAAATGTGTTGCATTGTCTAAACAACAAATGGTCTAACAAATTATTGCGCGCAATTTATTGCATTCAATTATTGCTCTTGTATGTACAAGAAAATGGCGTCGTGTAAATGGGCCTTAACTATTAACAAAAGCAAACTAGAGACATTGTTTAAAATATTAACTTATAATAATATTAATTTGTTAAACGGAAAATTAAGAATGTCTCATTTTAGCGAATAGATCAATGTTTCTAAGTAATTATTTTCGTACTAAAAATAAATTATGTTATCCACTTTTAAGTTATCAATTAAGTATCTCTATAAACTGTGCTACCGAAACAAGAGCGAGAGTTTTGAATCTGTACCATATGTTTACATGTTAGTCTGTCACGAATTAATTAAGCTGCAGAATTGATGTGTCATAGACTAAAATTCAGATTTCAAATATTTAAGATGATATTATTTCTATAAGGAGTGATGGCACGGGAATTTTTTAAAACATTTATGGCTGTCAACTTATTCGCGACCATTTTAAATTATCTTACATAAAAATAAATGATTGCATCGAAGCCAAATGTCTTTTTGCGTGGGTTTAAACGAAATGTGAAAAAAACATGAAGACAATAATTTCTTTATGAAAGCCAAATGTGTTAATTTGTCTTTTATTACTTTGTGCCGATGCCTCAAATTAATAGTTTACATGAAATTATACTGAATATGATATATAACTTAATTTAGTGTCTTTTACAATAATAGAATTACTAGGTATTTCAATTTGTGCCAAATATTTCCCCAAGTTGTATCTATGAAGGACGAGAGATTTTCAAATGATCATTAACACCTCTCCATCGATAGAGATATTTCATTGTCCGCACTAAAGAAAACTGCATGAAATAACTTTCGAAATGTAAAAAATATTCATCTAAGAAAATTTTTCGATTAAACATAAAATTGTCTTCAAATTAACATTCTTTTTTTGTTTAACTAAAACTCTTTCAAACGTAACTTCTATGGACAGTTTAGCATGTGAGCAAAATCGCATTTTAATCGGCATCGGTGTCCCGGCGTGGTATATTGTCGTCTATTGCTTGTGGTCTATTTCTATGTCGCTGATGGTCTCTCTAGTCCACGTGTTCGTGGAAGACTGAGGAGTCCTCAAACTTACCGGAACCGCAAATGGAAACGTCGTCGCCTACGCTGAGGTCATCCTGGGAGCTGCTCATTCGCACTGCAAGCGGACCATTTTCCAACATGAATGGTTTATGGCATTTATATATACAGCGTGTCGTTACCATCGCGACAATAAATGAACACACGTCTAACGCTACTTGCCAATAATCATAAAAAATATTAACATTAACAAAATCCATAATTAAAAAAAATATTTTTCAAACAAACTAATTAAGTAAAAAAGAAACAAAATTTGTAACACCTATACAACTCGCGCCACAGCGTCGTATTACAAGCCTCTCCTTCTAACAGTATGTTTTGTCTCTTTCAAATTCATTCAACCCATTCATATGTTATGTGACCTTTACAAATGAACTTTACGTTACGCTTTTATAGGTAAGGGTGTTCTAAAATTCTTTGTTTTGGAAAATTTAATAACTCTGTAAATATTGATGTTTAAAGAATTTAAATTTTTAATTCAACTTTAAAAAGTTATCCCCTACACGTGTGTTCATTTATTGTCGCGATGGTAACGACACGCTGTATATATAAAAAAAAAGAAATAGTGCGTGGAGTCCCTCCGTGCGGAAGAAGTGAAACTTCGAGTGCCACGCATTCACTCTCGCTCTGTCTCTTTCTATTGCCTCTCCCCAGCAGCGTTGAACGTTAAACGCAACAGTGCTTTCATACCCGCTCCATGGTAGCGTTAAACGTTTAACGCAACCTTGTTGGAAATCGCATTATAAGTTTCACTTCAAAAAAATAAAGATTTTTCCAGAGCGGACTTAAAAGTATTCCGCGTACGGAACCTTATCGAGAAGACCGGGAGGTGCTAGGAAATAATACAAAATTACATTACAGTGCTAGGTTAATGAATACCTTCAAATATAAAGTTTGTTAATAATATTCCTCAATACAGGATGTGTCAAAAAGTCAAAATTTCTATATTCAATATACGGGCGCTTCATTTAAGCTCTTATTGAACGTAAAAAAACTACCACAGGCTCACTAAACTAGAGCTGACCAGAGAAGAACCGGCAAAAAATTTCGCGGTCATGTTATCTTTTTTTTTTAATACAAGTATACAAACTTATTTAAGTATAAAATCAGAGTTACCCCTCAATAATATAGACGACGTTATTTTATCTAGATGTGCACGAATTTATATAAAAGCTAGTTCTTGAGTAATATGATTGCTCCATTACTCGTCAAATATGCTCACCTCGGCTCGCCTGCCGTCCATTCGCGGTTCTGTAGAGGGTGCTCTCGAGGAACTGTAGGCCGTTGTTGTTGATTATGTTGAAGCCGCATAGACGCTCGATCTGTTTCCAACGGTGCATCCTCTCCTGGGCAGAACGTTTCCAATATGCTCAACGGTTTATAATATATTGAGTTATACAACGGTGTCGCGTCATTTAACTCTTTTTCTTACGTTTATAGGTAATGTGTATAAATAATCTCAATAGGATGAGACTAATTCATCCCGAGTTATGATCAAAGGCATTCTGAGACTAGGTAATTGGACCAATCCCAATAAGTATGAAATTCTATGCCATCCTATTCCGAATTATAATTAAAGGCACAGTGAGACTACGTAATTAAGCCAATCGCAATAAGGATGAGACTAGTCCATCCTATTCAGAGTTAAGATCAAAGGCACAGTGAGACTACGTAATTGAGCCGATCTCAATAAGTATGAGACTAGCCCATCCTATTCAGAGTTATGATCAAAGGCACAGTGAGACTAAGTAATTGAGCCAATCTCAATAAGGATGAGACTAGTCCATCCTATTCCAAGTAACGATCAAAGGCAAAGTAAGACTACGTAATTGAGCCAATCTGAATTAGGATGAGACTAGTCCATCCTATTCCGAGTTATCATCAAAGGCAGAGTGAGACCAGGTAACTGAGCAAATCCCATTAAGGATTAGTGTCAGGTCAGGGTCCATCGATGGGGAAACTCACCTGCAACTCCTGCGTGACCTCATTAAGAGCTGTTCTCGCCTCCACAATGGAGCGGTCCACGTCGTCGATAGACTTTCCGTGCGTCGACACGAACGCCCCCACTAGGCTGGATCGCTTCTTGCGCAGTTTCTCGCACTGTTGTTTAAAGCAGTGTTATCGATGAAATTCCTTGAATTTACGCCAATGCCTTATTAGTAAACGGGACTATGTTTACGGATTTATCGCGTTCTTTTTCAGGTTGTAAAAGGGTCGAAACGTCGTGAGCTAAAATTGAAATGTGAGAATACTTTTCTTACTGTGCGAATAAATAAATAATGAAAAGTTTCTTTGGATTTAGTGCTATTTCAGCAATAACATTTAAATATACAAGGGGAAGTTCAATACATTTGTTCAATTAATAATGTTCACGAATCATCAGTGCTATTACATCAGGGCGATTTCTAATGTGGTAGGGCTACACAAGTCTTCGCTGTTGCACGAATGGGCAGGTCCGTCCGGGAAAGTACCACAAAGACCGGTTATAAAGTGGAAGTGTTGCACTTGGGTGAGGTAGCCGGGGCCTACTTTATTAAAAAGAGGCAACGCATCAGCAACTCTACGGGTGTTCCAATGTCCATGGGCGGCGCCAGCTCGCTTGCTACATTCTCACATAAAAAATAAAAAAAAATAAAAATTGCTAATCGCGAGTTTATATCATTGACGGTTTAGCAAGTATAGGTAAAGAGTTTTACAACTTACGGCCTCTCTCGCCTGTTGTAGTTGCAAATCGGCCTGTTGCTTCTTGCGCAAGTATGCGCGGTTCTCTACTTCGTGTGTTAGCTGCAGCCATTGCTGCAGACCGGGCGGCGGGGCCCAACATCTGTCCTCCAGCTCGCCCTCGGCGCGACGCAACTCCGCCCTTAACATCTGCGGAGTAAGCGCGACAATGCCGTGACAAAGGGAAGCGAAAGACTCGAGGAATATTGGAATGTGCGAACGCGATGTCCGAAATGCAAATGATGGATTTGCCAAGAAATCGCTCTAAGAAATCAATTTTATTTTGAATGTGATATGCCAGATGATAAGGTAACACACTTAACACGAATAAATTAAGATTCTGTGAAATATTAGATGTATGCAAGATGTTGATCAAAATAAAATGAAAAGAATATCATCACGGTTTTAATTTTAGAGTGTCAAGAAAACTCGAAATTTCTCACCTCAATCTCTGCCTTCAGCTGCGAAACCTCTAAATCGGAAGAGGCAGAGTTCAATAGGGGTGTGTCGCCAGCTTCCCTCAATTTCTTCTCTAAGTTGCGCTTCTCAGTGGTGACGCTCTCCTAAAAAATAAGATATAGTGCGATTTTAGATCACTAAGATATTTTGTGTCTTCATTAAAAACAAAATGGCATAAAGCCTATCTGAGACTTGGAAACAAAATGGACATAACAATAATCAAAATCGAAATATTGTAGGAGAGACCAATGAGGAGTAGAATCAAAATAACATCAAACAGAGATTGTAGAATATGTCTTCAGTGTGTCGCATATATTTTCGGGAAACTACTCGAAACGGTGTCTGGACAATCGCTTTTAATTAAATGTACACGAACAACCAAGTTCAAATCCCGGTACCAGCACCAATGAAATTGTCAATTTTACGATCTGAATTATACGTACTCAGCGGTGAAGAGACCCACATGTTTTCGAAATAATAACAAAAAAAATATGTAGAAGATTTGTCTGCCAATCTGCAGTGGGGTCACGCGGTGCACTATGCCCTGGTACAGTATGTGCAGAGGAGGCCTCTGCCCAGCAGTGGGACATGTATAGTCTGTTCACTTCACCCTTTACCCTCACCTGTTCCAAGCGTGCCTTCTCCAGTTCCTTCTGCATGTCGTCGAGGGCCATCTCGGCCTTCCTCAACTGCTCCATGTCGCGCAGCATCCTCTGCACCTGGGTGCGGCTGGCGCGGCCGGCGCGCAACGCGGCCCAGCCGCCGACCACGGCGCCCAGTAGCAGCGAGGCCAGAAGCCAGTCCTTCCATCTGCTACCTTCTGGGAGGCGTGAGAGGTCAGGGGTATTCCCACCGTTTTCTCTTCCATGTGAGATGATGTTGAGTGATAACCGCCGTCAGTGGCAAACGAGCCCGCAGTACACCTGATCTTCTACCTAACATTTATCCCAGCAATTGCCAGGGTCTGCTTTCCTATTTAAACTCCCGCAGTACAACTGATCTTCTACCTAACATTTATCCCAGCAATTGCCAGGGTCTGCTTTCCTACTTAAACTCCTCCACTTTGCCCGATCTTCGACATCTTCATGGGTCAGTACACCTGATGTTGAGTGATAACTGCCGTCCGTTGACATTTGCGACGACCGTAGGTTTGCGGATGAGTTGTTACCTTTTAATGAAGTGGGCCTCGGCTACCTCACTCAAGAAACGAAACGCAGAAGTATAACACTTCCCCTTAGCGCCGGTGTTCTGTGAGGTCGTGGTACCCGGACGGACCTGCCAATTCGTGCAACAGAGAAGACTTGCGTGGTTGCCTACTACAGTTAGGTATGTTGTGACGTCACTACGGACCCTATAGCAAGAGCGATCGTCCTTATTCCTATTTGTATTTACGAGAATGTTCTATTCTTTTGGAAATAGTCAAGTTTTGCGAGACGAATGTAAATGAATTAGGCTCTTAATCTGGCGGATTGTTATCTCCGTTATATAATTAACCGACTACAAAAAAGAAGGAGGTGCTATGCTCGAGTGTATGTATTTTTTAATACAATTTTTGGACCCTTATTAAATTTTTAATATGGAAAAAAGATGGAACCATTGTTTAGTTGTTTTTATGTATCTTATGACATTATTGATACCTATAGATATTGATGTTTATCAAATATTTGACATATTTACTAACATTAAAAATAATATTGCAGTCGTTACGGCAAATGTTTTGAGAAACTTGCGAAAAACATATACAGTTTAGTGAATACATACACTACATAGTATAAAACAAAGTCGTCCCGCTGTCCGTCTGTCTCTATATATGTTTAAAATTACGCAACGGATCTTGATGCGGCTTTTTTTAATAGATAGAGCGATTCAAGAGGAAGGTTTATATGATATAGAAGGAAGGGCGGGTCGCTAGTATACATAAATATTAAAAACGCACATATAACAGACCTTATAAATTGGTCATAAAAAAAATCCGTTAATTTAACTGGATCCCATTAAATTTTTATTGCAGACGAGTTGAAAACGTTTAATTACTTGTGTAATTCAAACCCGTCCGGGTTGAGCAATCCCACATACTCCTAGTGTGGGAAGATTCCAGAGTAATGTCACGTGACCAATAAAGGGAAACAATCATGACAGTTACTGGTGTTCATTTTTATAAACTTTTTAATTCAAGAGGAAGTACGTCACTTAAAACTTGATTCTACTTTATAAAGTTTTAACTGACTTACGGATGATGTTTGAAGAAAATATTGAATATTCAAAAAAATTTAAAGCCTTAAAATATGTATTACGGGGTAGTACCTATCTCTAAATTAGCATATCAAGCGAATTAAATAATGTTCAATGTAAATTGTTAGCTTTCTTAATAACAGTAACTCTCTATTGTTATTTCATAGACGATTTTAATATAATAGTCTACGGACGATAATGTTAAAAGTGTATCATAAGTCACAACCTAAACTCCCTTTCTCAAGGGGGTCAATAGTCAGAGTTTTAGATGGTAAGCATTTATCACAGGTAAGAAGAGAAAAAAAAAAACAGTAGATTGTATGATTGATGTTCAAGAGCCATCTCAGTGCGTGTAAATGTATATTCAATTCAGTATAGAAGCATTACACTTACTGATTGATTGTCAAAAAACACTATACCGACTACTACGTAGAGACGTAGACGTCGTAACTATATAGAGATTATTCCATGTACCAATTCTGGTAAAGGAAAACTCATTTGTGCACACCGCCGACATTTGAACTCGCGACCTCAGGTCTTGAGTCGAATCTCCAGTCACTAACCCAACATCTTCTGTGTCAAGCACAAAGTCACTCTAATCCATTTCGCATCCAGAATGTTCGTTATAGAATAGAGACTTTAAAAATTTTACCGGCCGTAAGCAAACAACGGCCCAGCTTTCGGCCGTAAACCGAAAACGGCTCGGCCGTAAACCGTAAACTGGCATTGGCCGTCGCGACCGCAAATGTCATTCGCGAACAATCCACATTTTCCTGTTACGTCTACATAACTAGCGGACAATCGCGTCCAAGCGCCATTGGAAAACGATGATTCAATCGATCAAATAGAATGCCATATGCTTAATAGTCTACGGACTGAAAGCAAAAACATCAGTTAACGTAAAGTAACAATGTCATAAAGCCGCTTGTAAACATGTTGGCGCGAACGCGTTTTCTGCGTCTAGTGACAAATCTATTTACAAAGTATCGTATAAAATTATGATAATAACGTAAAAGAGAATGAAAGAGATTGTCTTTTCGAGAAAAATTATTATTAACCATAATTAACCGATTTTTTATTGGTTTCATTTATTTGACCTTCAAAATATTGTGTAAAAATCTTCGAGTTTATTCGAAATACATTTATTGTCGTCTCCACGTGATCACAATAAATACCTCTCCAGTAAATACGATGATCTGTATAAATTCCTTTCTTTGAATGATGTTTAATATTAAAATATAATATTTCTTTTTAAAATTTGTTTAAATGAAAGATAACGAATTGGATGGAAGAACGTTTTTCTTACAAATAAAATACTATAAATATTTATAAAATTATATATAATCATTCCAGGTCAGTGTAAATTCTGCGATTATGTAACGCTAAAGTTTGACTACACGGATGGCACAATTGTCTGCATTGCATGGCACAGGGGACTAAAATTTATATGACCAATAAATTCGTGTCCCAACTTGAAAAACTATTAACTGAATTAAATCTAGTTTCAAAATTAAAAAAAAAAACAGTATTTTTTTGGAAATCTATAGCGAGGGAATTATCGTTTCCCCACTCTTCCAAATCGTAATATAAACTCAATGCTACCTAACACATCGATGGTTCAAATTTATGACACCTAAACGGCCACGGTTCCGGCACTATGCGCATCCTCCGGGATCAGGCGGATGATCTTTGAAATAATTTTTTAACCAAGATAATTACTCGGTAAAAATAATTAGAATATGAATCCTATCTATATTTTCATGGGAGAAGTTGATAAGAGGGCCGGCGGTTTAATTTTGTCACGTGCAGATGCGTTAAAAACCTTGCTAAAAACCTAAATGCGGTCTCCTGTACTTCCCCGGACTAGTCTGCCCAATTGTCTAGTCCCCGTGCAATAAACTACTTGGCTTACTAGTAGACTTGGCTTACGACTAGTAAACGACACGTGGACTTTCTACTAAAACTAGGGATTATACCCCGCTTTATTCCTATGTTGATTCCAGATGTTCCGACGTTAATATAATTTGACTATATTAAATTGACCTCCCCACAGAGTGCCACGAAGCACGATCCTGCGCCACCTGCATCCACCGACTCCCCGCACATTTTCACAAACTCTAGTAAGGGAATAAAATTTTGTGGCACGCATTCGATATGTTTTTCTTTAAGGAACACTGTTCCAAATCAGAAAAACAGAAGATCAAAGAAAACAACAGAATTATTACCATCATCGTCCAAATCCAAAAAACGTCCGCTGAACAGCAGACGAATGAAATACGAAACAGCCAATGCGAGCCAAGTCTCAAACACCATAATACTTTCATCACGCGAGAAAAAGAAACTACTACACACTATTCCATTTTCACCAAACGGCCAGTATCATTTCCATCACAAAATCACCAATTCAAGGTTGCAACAATAAAAAAAAACACAGCCTTACTTTGAGGCCCGGAAGTCATTAATAAATAGAGAAAAAAAAATTAAACAATCACAACCATCGAAGTACGAACAAAACTAGTCACTGAATGATGTTAAATCACACTTTACATTGTGATGTAATAATAAGGTAACCACATTTATGGAATCTCGTGCGGTTTTAAGGCTTCCCACACACAATAGATTTTCAGTTGTTACATACTGAATTATTCGTAGCATGAATACATATATAAATAAATATATATTTCATTGTAGTATTATAATGAACTAATTTGTCTAAAAAGTTTGTTTTGTACTAATTTTAAAACATAATTGACTAAATTATTAAACAACAAAACATCTTTATCACTTACTAGCCGCTGCCCGCGACTACGTCTGCGTAGAATAGGCTGAAGGCGTATCATTCATACATACAATATGTATATAAATCATAGCCTATGTTTTATTCTGATGTATAAGATATACTTTTGTAAATTTTCATTAAAATCCATTCAGTACTATTTGCGTGAAAGAGCAACAAACATCCATCCATACATACAAACTTTCGTCTTTATAATATTAGTAAAGAAGTAAGGACTAAACCGTAATTTACATAGAAACAGTCGAGATGTTTCCTCTTCAAACAATGTTATAGTGTCCAACATATTATGGATAGAAGTTAAGTTAAATAACTGACAAACGCCCGGTTTCCGAAACACTAATCATCGTAGAAATCAACTAATCAGCTGTCAAATGGATTTTCAAATATTATTTGAGTTGCCAAAATGATTGTTAAACTCTCTGAATTGATCAGAATGATGTTCTGATTAGTTAGTTGACTTCTACATCAGTTATAAAACGGGACAACATCGAAGAATTTAGTGTAGTATTTTTTTATATTAGTTGTTAATATTAAAGTCTACATTGTAATTTGAAAATATAGGAGGCTTATGTTATGCCTTATCCACGCTTATGAACAACGATTAAAAATTCCAACAACGCCAATCTGTCGAGTTCGTTAATTAGGCCACAAAATCTAACGACCGGTTGTATGATTAATGACAATCGACTTATCCTATAAGGGCATTAATTATAATACTATTTTTTATCACAGTAATAGCGTTTGTAACAACAAAACATCAAAGAATTGGAATACATTACGATAGCTCAGAT